GAGAAGGATTTGTATTGATCTTCTTTTTATTTGGCGTTTTCAGGTTTCTTGGTTTTGTTGCTAAAGGTGGAGATGGTAACAGGTCTAACTGTGTTCACAGTTTACCATTTTTGCAGTTATTAATTTTTTTGTGAAAGTCATTGACGGTAACCTAAATTATAAACCTAAGCCCTTCGTTCCCACCACCACCCCTGGCTTAAGTCTGGACTTATTTGTCAGGCCAATTCCCTGTTAAAATCTTCTCAGGCTTTAGCCACTTTCAATCCTCGTGCAGACACATTATGTGTCCAAAAGCGGCAAAAGACTAACTTCACGACTCCATTCTCCGTACCGCTCTAAGTGATAGCATAGACAAATAGAATTAAATAATAGACCGTCAGCAGTGCTGCGGTTAGCATAAGTTCTGGCATCCACCGCTAGGAGCGCAGTGTAGTTGCGGCGCACGAGATACGTAACTACACGGCGCTCGCAGTCGTGGACGCCCAGACCTTATGCTAACCACAGCACTGCTGACAGTCTATATTTTATTCTATTTGTCTATGGCGATAGGAATCATTGGGATTCGCTCTAACCTTTCATCTCCCCTTCATGGGGCAGTTTTCATTCCTTTTCTTTCTTAGTTTTTGTTGTTTCTTTTTTCAATTTAAAAGCCTGTATGTACCCCTGGTTCTTCCTATTTCCCTAGCTACCCCTGGTTCTTCCTATTTCCCTAGCTACTTTTCTAAACATCTCAATCGTTTCCTTGAACCTCATCAAGTTTTATTTTCTCATCTCTAGCTAGACCTTTCCTATCCAAGAATTCTTCCTGTTCTCTCCTATTTGCCTCCCGTAGTGGACAGTTTATAAATATGCGACTCGCGTTCTTTATTTCTCGGCATCTACATACCTCCTCTTCCACCAGGTTAAATCTCCACAAATTTGCCTTCAAATTGTTTATGTCCTGTGACAAACTGCGTTTCATAATGGCCCATTTTCCAATCTTGTTTCAGTCTCTTTCTGATGTTTGGTATATATCCGAACGTTTACCTTTATTCCACACTCTACTGCAAGCACATTTACCATTCATCTAATATCTCCTCTCTTCTGGCACTCTTGCTTCCCGATAGTCCTACCCGCCTCCTTGTCTTCTAAAATCCTAATCCTTTCTTCAACGAGCAGGTCGAGTGGTATGGCTCCGGACAAAACCCTAATCGCATCATGCCATATGCTACTGTGTTTCCCTACTTCCAAAAAAACTCTTCTTTGCATACTCAAAAGTTCCTTTTCAATATTATATTCCTAGCATCCTTACCCCAGAACACTCATTCGTACAGCATTGCTGGCTCAACACTCTTTGTACAGTGTCATCAAAATGTTTCCCAGTCATGCCTCTATTGGCTCTGGGATGCTAATTTCACAAACCCTTCTTTTATTTTTAGCACATTTTACCTCTACATGTTTTTCAAAAGTCATTCATTTACTTAAAGTCACTCCTTAATCAAGCCTGGCGACGAACGATAGCGTTTTCCAGAGATTTTGGGACCCGGCCATCCTACCTTCCGATATAATCAAATATTCTATTCGGAGATGGAAAACAAGTTTTTAAACTAAAATCAATAAAGTCTGATCATTATTCTTGTGCCCCCATCATAAATATTACCCCCATCATACAGAAGAATACAGGTGCCATCCCTTACAATAGATGAAACTGGATAAAAAAATATTGTTCCTTCGATATTAATTTCGTTCACTCATTAAATAATATCCTGTTATACAGGGTGTCCCGTAAGTAAACAGACAAACTCCGGGAAATGGTTCTATGGGTCAAAATAAAGAGAAAATCAAGAATAACATTTTTTCCAAAATCGCTTTGTTAACCAGATAACCGCCATTTTGTATTTTTTACATAAACATTTTTATTTTTGAATTTTTTCAACCGATCTTTATAAAACTTGGTATGTAGGTTAAGGTAGAAAAGACCAATGTTAGGAAAAAAATCATCTTGATTCAACTTAAAATTTCAAAATGGCAGCCATTTTCATTTTTTAAACTTAAATTAGGCCTACTAAAAAACGGCCAATGTCATGAAAAAATGTCAAGAACACTTTTATTTAGAATTTTTAATTCCTTATCAAACGATGCCAAGTTCAAAAAGATTGAATAAAAAATATCTGAAATATTACGATTTTTAGTAGTAAAATGGGGTAGAATAAGGCAGAAGCTAGTCAGGTTTGCCCCATTTTAGTGGTAATCTTAATGGTAATTACTTAAAAGAAATATTTGCCAATATTGACTGAACTATTAGAGTTTTAACTGAGACTGTACTTGTAACATCAACCAACACAAAGAGCTCACTGCAGGCAGATGAACACTGCTTAACATATTACACAAACAAACACTGTTTGTAAACCTAAGTGACTCATACATTCCTCTACATTACAGAACACTATAACTAACTTGGATTCATACCCAACTCAATTTTTGAATGTTTTAGTCTCTGGCGCTGGTGTGAGGGTTTGTGTGCATGATTTTATTTAGTACCGTACTGTACTTGCTTAGGTTATTTACCTTTGCTAGGTTTTCACATTGTACTTTTTATTTTACTTTGAAAAAACAAAATATGACAGTAATGCGTCTCTGAGATGAGAAAAGAAAAGTATAAAGCAACTGAGAGCAGGGTGAAGGTAACCTCTTTCATAGTCAGTTCCATTGCCAGGCTCATAATGCCACTTTGCTCTATATAATTTCTACGACATTGTAACATAACCTTTATATTCTAAAATATTTTGCTTCATTTGAACTTTTCAATTAAATACAAATTATTATTAATGAGTTTTGTAATTTATAGAATTTGAAGCATTTCTATAAAAATACCTCCGCCTCAGAAAACCTGCAGACTAAATAAATTTCAATAGCCTAAGTCCGATTTGGTTTTTCCTCAAATATATCCTTAAGACATACTTTTTTCCACATTCAAATAACATTGGTGCTGGGTAGCCGAGTGGTTATTGCGCTCGCCTTCAAATCTGAAGGTAGCTGGTTTGAATCCAAGCAAAATGGTTTGCAGACTCAGTGCCATTTGTCATTGGGCTATGAATTAATGATGCTATCTAACGAAAAGGTCGACGTTAGATAGTAAAAGGACTACGGTTTGGACTTTTCCCTATCAAAACGTAAAAAATGCCAGTGGCGTAGAAACACACAAACAAATAAATAATAATAATAATGCTTGTCTAGCAATCAAAAGGTCGCCGATTCAATTTTGAGAAGAGTGTGTAGCTTTGTGATGGTTCGGAATTAGATCTAGCTATCTTAGATCATTGGGCTTACAATAAAATGGTCCTGACTAATGAAACAGCTCGTCTTGGTCAGTAACAAAGCTACACAATGCATCAAACTTCATGTTACACTCATCCTTCACTCATATTGGGGTTTAAATGCACACATAGGTGGCTTCCCCATCTCAAATGAATAAGAATATGAATATTTAACGAGTAGGCCTACAGTGTACTTAGGTTTGCTCTTAAGGGGAAGGTAAAAAGTGTTTTTTTTCTTTTTTTTCGGCCAAATGATAATAGGCTAACTTAGAGGATAAAATAAATAAATGTGATCAACATAAAGTACATGAACAAGAAAACTAAGCTAAATTACAGCCGTTTTCATATTCCCCTTAAACAATTACGCCTTAACATGAGAATTTTAAAGGAGCAGCTTTTAGGAATTTTAACCGAAACCGCAAACCAAACCGAATTAATTGCACACCCCTGAACTAAATCATTTGTTTTACCTATTTTTAAACTCTAGATAACTTACACGATGGCCATAGTGAAAATTGGGCATTTCCATGTTTTAATGGTCAAAATTTGAAAACATCAATTTTGTTAACGTCGACCCCCATAATACCTCGTTCCCATGAACCGATCTGGCTTGTTCGCGAACTCACCCAAGTTGAGAAATATTCTAAGGACTATTCTTGCCTGAAGAGATGTTTCTAAAGTTCAGGTTTAGGTTAGGTTGGTGGAGTTCTGTTTAGGGTAGTTTAAACTATGAAAAAAGAGGAATACAAATTGACGCCTTTGTAAATTTATCTCTTTAGCAAACAAAACTACAACTTAGGCTATCAAATTTTGTTTCTATTAACCTAAAACCAAATGTTAGGCCTAAGTTACCTTAAGTTACCGGTATTTGGGTATCATAAACTTAACTACCGTACTGTATTGCCAAACTTAACAACAATAACCTAAACTAAACTTAGTCGCAGCAGCACAGTGTGAAAAAAAGTATTCCTGAAAAATATAAGTACGATCGATGAAGACTTTACACGATACGATAAGTTTTATATATTGAATGAAGATTTCATCCGATAATTTATGCTAAATAGTAGGTTTTCTGCGGAATTGTACCCAAACTTTGGCAAAATTGGATGAAACACAATAGGTATCCTAGGTACCTACTAAAAAATTGAATGTTTGTTAACTTAAGACAGTCGGTAATACGTTGCTACACTTTTGCTAAGTTATCCCATTTGTAAACAGTAACTTAGGCTAAGTTTATATGCAGATTAGGTAAACAATTGAGGATTTCAGTGGTTTGGTTCGAACAGTTGAAGTTTATATTGGGTTGGCTTAGATGTTTGGATAACAGTGGCCTAAATTTGAAAAGTCTGTCTAGATTTGAAAATATTCATTACGGTATTTGAATCCAATAGAATATTTTCCATTCACAATGTCTGTGAACCTCATGATAGCCTGATAAGATTATTCATAAAGGCCTGAAAATTGTAATTCCTCAGTGAAAATCCGATTCTCATAATAATTTGACACTATCCATAAACCTGTACTAAAAAGTAACTTAAATAGGTAGCCTAGACTAAGTAATTTTAATTCATTAGGCCTAAGCCTACAAAAATTAGAGATTTAAAGTTGAATCAGTCCTAAATATTACATTCTAAAATAGCTACAGTTATAGGCCTAGACCAACCAATAATTCAGGAAACTTTCAAAACATAAACAAATACTTACACAGTGGAAAACAGCACAGCACGTCCTGTCTCAGATTACCTAGTTCAATAACCAAACATATAACCCAGTTCTTAAATTTAACACTCAAGTGTACACCAACACACAGAAAACAACTTGATATATTTAGGATCCATGACGATGATTAACAAAATTTGGAGTATCTCAAAACACTTACAACATCACTTTAACCAATGTTTTGGCAAGTATTAGCCAACTCAAATTTTGACAGATGTCACTACTGCCATTACTGCAGTACGGCTCACATGATCATAGTCTCTATTTTCTTTAGACCATCTAGGTTTTCAAAGAGAATGAAGTTGTAGTAATTTTTTTCTTCTGATATACATAACAAAGTTGGTAATTATAATTAAACAGATTTGCAAAATCATTATAATACATAATACACACATGATTACATAAATTAATCTCAGTAAAAGTGTGAAAACATTTTTTTAATTTGCATTCCAAACAAAACTCAAGAATATAGAGGAGGCTATGATAGAATCATTTGAACGTTATTAAGACTACATAGTTTGATACTAAATTTATTAGTCATGGTTTGATTTTATAAAAAAATTCTGTTTTGGTAAAAAAAGAGTACAACCTGTTCCATGCAATATTGTATGCATAACCTAAAGTTCTGTATACTACTGGACTTTTGTAGCCTACTTAGGAGGGGGCGTATTCAACAAACACGTTGATTCTTCCTTACAAACAAATTGACAACATTATACCAAAGATTAACCAATGTTTTATTTATGCTTATACAGTCAGTACCTTACTATTCGCGATTAAGTTCCAGATTAGTTACCTACCATCGATTTGTAGTCCTATAACTTATACATCGATTTCTAGTTACTGGTATCAAAAATACATTATATTGAAACAATGTGATAAAAGAAAATATCAAAGCAAAAACCACGAAAACACTGTGAAGTATTCTTTTATACTCCACATAATCCATGGTTGGTCAGACCATAGACAAAAAGAATGTCAGACCAATGAGTTCACAAACAAAAGTTAACCTACTAGCACTAGCAGCGCTACCTTGTAGCTGCGTATCGAACCACGTGAACCATCGGCTTATAAAGAATGTTATCGTTAACCGAGAGATTAATCTTTTTCATATTGTACTAGTTTATTCATGTTGAAGCCTTCCGGAATTGTACCTGTTATAATTGTACTAGTGTTGTTTTATGGCTACGCCAAGTGAAAAGGACGCAGAAGAAAATAATATAGCATATATGGATACCGGTATCTTAAAAAAAAGGCTACACACCCATAATTAATTTAACCTCATAGTTTTATAAGGGCTACCTAATCAAAAAGGTTTCTTTATACTTTTATGGTCCTTATAGATCTGCTAAAGACAGTTTTATGATTTTTTGTGTTTCCGTAGAGAGTATGCTTTGTTCGTTAATATTTATTTCTTCTTGTTTTTAAACATGTATAAACACGTTTTTTGAATGCATTAATTACTGTTTATGTAATTTAAAAGTCGACAGATCTAATATGCAATCATTTGGAAACTTTATATAAACAATTAAAGGGTTCAATTCTAAAAGCAAATATCAGACCACAACATTATACCATGTACAAAGTCACTTTTCATGGTGTATTATAGAATATTCGTGATTGTGATTAGAATCAAAAGCGTAGTTCGGGGAAAAAATAAAGAGTTATAAATCAAAACAAATCAAACAGCATACTTTTATTCAATGTTTTAAATGTGATTAAATGCAATCCTAAAATCAAGGTACGTGCCCTTAGGTTTTGGCCTTGTTCCAGTCTTAGGTAACTTTAATGTTTGAAGAAAATACATGAAATAGTAAGGTGAAATTAATTAAATATAAAAAAATTATGCCTAAACTCAATTAATAGGTAAATACAACTAAAAACAAACCCATAATAAACATGTTTTTAAGTCAGCTGAAATTTAAACAATGGAACTTATCCTATTCGAACCACATTTCATATAATTTTCCAATACAGCTTCTTCAAAATGCTCTCTTGTCTTACTTTGCAACTCCATCTCAGAAGCATGGTACGGGTCTTTTCAAATTATGTTTGATATAAAAGCATGCATTTTGCACTTCCCTAAAACAATGGAAAGCAGAGGACACCAGGTTTTATATGGTGGTGAGCACGTGCTGGGATGCCGTTACTAGGCAACCAAGCTTAACAAACAGTTCTCCTCTTCTTCCTCCATCCCGACTACACCTGGCCGAACTAAAAGTCTTCTTCACTGTTCAAATATCCGACAGACCCAGTTTGAGTGAATGTGGGCCGCTGTGAGATTGGGCGATATGTTGGCATTGGCAGTGCTGAAGCTCATGATGGTAGTCTCGGCAAAACAATAATTTCAGAGGGGAATGGAGAGTGAATATCCTGATCATGCATGCCCTATCAATTCAAGGGATGATTATGTTAATGATATGCAAAATGTTTGATTTTATTGTGCGAAGCGAGCGAAGCTCTTGGATACCACACTCCTGCTTTTCTTTTCCACATACTCCTCCTGAACGGCTGATGCGGTCCACATGAAATTTTTTAACAGTCATATAGTTTAACCAACTATGAGAAGGTATGAACCTGAAATGGTGCAATTCGTACTTAGGGATTTTCTCTAAGCAAATTTTAATTTTTAGAAATTTAACATTGGCTTTATGGGTTTATTGGTCATCATGGCACTATTTGAAGATAACAACTAAAAGTAAACAAAAAATCATAATATATATGTTTATCATCATATCATCTAAAACTGGCACATTACAAATACAGAACAAAAGGGAAGAACTTTCGGATTAATATCGTTCATCATAATAATTAGGTTCATGGTAACGTATCATTGACTTAAGATCATTTAAGATACTCCAAATAACCATTCTACTTTTGTGAACCAAATATACTAATGATTTTAAATACTGCAAGTAAGTGGATATCACATTGACGTGAAGTCATATGTACTGATTTCGGTATCATAAATACAGGAAAATTTACACTGTAGTAAACGATATGACTGATAATGTCGCTAATGCTTTTATAAGTCTTGTCACAAATATAAATTTGAGATCTATGTAGGTACTGAGAGGAGTATTTATGAACACCGAGCGTCAAAGTACTAGAATGAACAGTACTTCAGGAGAATATTGCTTCAGAGTGAGAGTAGAATGGAGTGGTATGATATCATTTGGGTAGATTTGTTATTAACGCAGACAAACTTATCATCCAGAACCATTTGTTAATTGTTACAACCTCAATGTCAATAATTAACATCTGGACAGCTACAATATTATCAGTGGCGATTTTTCAAGAGCAACAACACGATAACCAGTTGCAACCAATGACCAATATAAACAAGAACAACTTGTCGTGTAATAGACAAGACCCAACAGCATCGAAGACCAAGACCAAGACGGCAATGGCCAAGACCAAAAAACTATAACCAAAGACAATGTGTCGTATTATTAAAATTGGATGCACTTATGAATCCCTCTCAAACCTTAGACATTTTACACATAGGCATTTAATTCTCTACTATTTCAACCCGTAACCTTGAAAGTTCACGTTTTACGGTTCATCAGCTGGACATATGAATGGCTTCCCGGTACTTGGTCTGTTCCAGAGAGACCGACGGCCAGTCACTCTCATTGTTCTGTCTGTTCCCCGGGAAAGTGTTGGGCGGTCTGGGCAGTACTGGAACTGACGTTCAGCACGCTATACTGTACGATCACGAGAGTATATCTGACAAACGAATTGATATTATTTGACTTTGCATTAGCAAATACCCCCGCCGCAGCAAACCTACAGACTAAGCGAATTTCCATTTCCCTGAATGGATTTACATTAAAATGACTACTTAAAAATATCACATTTATTCCCTATTTAAATAGAACCAGTTTAAAACATACTTAGGTTTGCTGCAACAGGGAGGGTAAAAGTGTTTTTTTATGTAAAATGTTAATAGTTGGTAAGAAATAAAAACATTTTCCAAATTTGGGCAAAATATGTTAATAAACAAGCAAACTACAACAGTTTACTTATTCTCCATAAGAATAACATGGGAATTTTAAATTTACAATTTTTTGGAATCTTCTCCGTAACCATTAGGCGCATTATAACGCTTCAATATAATAAATTATTTGTTTTTTTAAGCTCTACAAAATGGTTTAGAAAGAAATTGCAAAATTTTATGTTTTTTTGGTCGGAAATGGGAAAACCCCATTTTTGTCCCATAAAAGCCCCCATAAACCCCCGTTGCCATGGTCCGATCATGCTGGTTCGCGAACTCGTTCGAATAAACGAAGGTTTACACGTTTGTACCAAATTTCATCAAAATCGGATCATTTTTGCTCGAGTTATCGCGCTAACGGACACACATATATATATATATATATATATATATATATATATGAATTTGAACGGATGGTGTTTTTGGCCTCTAGGGACCTCAAAATGAAAAAAAAAATCGGTCCTGGGTCCAGGTCTTACCATGAGTACTACGGTAATAGCTTATTCCCTATATGGGAAATTCGCTAAAAAGGGTCATAAACAGGTGATGATCGTTGCAAAGTTTGTCTCTGTGATTGTCACGAAACATTATAACAGCAGGGTATAAAATTGCTCTTTTGAATAGGAAATCTGGTGTAAAAAGTTTCTTGTGAAGATTTGATTAGGACTTTTCGCTAGGCTTTAAAAAAGGCGAGAGTAAACCAGAAAAGGATTCCCGTATACATGATATACAATTTATGTATGTCTTCACTCGCAAAGCTTTCGCCGGCAGTGCTATAATACTGAACATGTACAACTATGGAAAATGGATTCGAATGCATGCATATCTCTGTATATGCCATTTGCTGTACATGCAGTAGTAAAAATGCCACCAGGAGAAGTTTACTATCTTGTTCCAGACTTTAAAATCACCTATGCAGAGGCTAAGACCTTAGGACCGACATTAGGATTTGACATTTTCTTTGCGAATATTGTTCAATAACTTGTATTATTTGAATATGGATAAAAACCGAAAATCTGGACAGCCACTATGATTTGAAATAGTTTTGTCAAAAATTGTATACTTTTGTAATAATGACTAGCTTTAATTGATTTAAACCCAGTAAACTTGTTGCTTGAAGATGAATTGAGCCTTTATCAGAGCATTTGAGAGAAAGACTTTGGCCATAGATGAAGATATTATTTCATATATGCTTTGGCCATTCACAAGAAGACGAACTTGATACAATATTTATGTTTGATATTGCATAGAACCACGGATGATATCACGCAATGATGTTTTGGTATGTCGTATGTAGTCAATGATATAACCCACCACAAACACACAGAAAGTTTATCATGAACACATTTCACTGTACATGACGTTTGCTAAAGCCGTCTTGAGGTGAATCTATCGCTGTATCCAGCAATACCAAGATTTAAATGGGACAATCTATTACCTATCTAGATTGGTAGATTGGTAGACGTCGCCGTCTTCAATTTTTATCGCAAAGTAAGCTTAATTATCAGTTATACAAAGTACATGACACGTACAGGGAAAGTGAAAGCCACGTCTACACCCCATCCAATTAGTAACCATTCATTAATTCCGTGTATCTGCAGTGATGCGATTTGTGTAAAAAAATGAAAACCAGACAGGGTTCGGCAATGTAGGTCTTTAAAACGACTCAAATTATATTTCTGAAACATTGTTAAATCGCTCTATTCTAATGGACATTAGCTATTTGTGCTCAGTGCAAAATAAATACAGTAAAGTAATGTTTGCATTATTATATTTATTTTGTTGGACTTTACTAATACCATTGACTATTTTAATTCTACCATAGATTAAACACGCTCACTATTTAATTCTAATTATAACAAAAACCCACTCATACATGGATTCCGTCCTATGTAAAACTTGTGTTCTAAATTAATGATGGGATTGATTGTGTAAACGAGGAAAAAATCATAACGATTTCTTTGAAATGTAGGATGAGTGAAATCCGAGCAAATCGAGAGAACGTTTGAGAAGTACATGTTCCAGTGACGATATAAATAAATATAACCTTTCCAAATGAAGTGTTACCTGCACAATTTATACAACATACATAACATGCCTAAAAATACTTTAATAATACTTTAATACTTTCTTATGAAATGGCGACCATACAATGTAGGTATTTTAAGCCAAGTATGAATACCTCAATGTAATGGATCATAGACTTTTTAATTAATAATCATGGCTGGTGAATATATTTGTATTTTTTTAATAATTGTTTGCATACATAAAACATACTCCTTTGTGTTGCTTAGTCCATATGTTAAACAACAACGCTAGTGATATTCATGCGATGTCTGTTACGGTGCGGGGTGCGGTGGCATCGCAATCATTCACCAGTAACTTTGGTATTATGTGTGCTCCCTAGAGGCCAAAAACACCATCTGTTCAAATTCATATATATATATATATATATATATATATATATATATATATATATATATGTATATGTATATACCGGGTGTCCACAAAGTCTTGGTCTGATAAGGAAACCGCATAGTATGAAAACGAGTGATAGTAGGATAAAGATTTAAATACAGATATACCAGGAAACTTCTTAAGATTTTATAACTATGTACAAACGTAACACAACTCTACGTGTGTGCCTCCAATGGCCTGCAGACCTTCTATATGCCTTTTCAGTTTGTGCCAGGTTTAGACAGCATATTCTGGGTTACAGACGCCACAGAATTCCTGAATCTCTCCTGCAAGTGTGTGTAAATTATGAACCGGGGAAGAATAGACAGAGTGCCAAATACTCGCAACAAGAAACCCATAGCATAGATAAAACATACTCCCTTAGTAGATTTCTCATCCTTATGGACCAGCTGAAGACAATTTTATTGTTAGTTCTGTACGGTTTTCTGTAGAGGTCGTGTTTTGTTTACAATTTGTTTCCCGTTATTACAGCCATTTAAAACCTCGTTTAACCAAATAATACGATCTAATCATAAACAATAACCTGTCCCCTAGTTATATAACCAAACAGTACAGTAAAGCACAAATCAAGAAATTAACCCTAAAATAATAGAAACAAAGTTTCGTTGACACTAGCGCCCATGTGTCACGTACATGAACTAGACACGAAAAACGTGCTTCAAAATTTACAATGGGATGAGAAGTCTACTTGTGTTGGTTAGTCTATGCCCATAGGGTTTACATCGGGGAACGAGGTGGCCATTTGGTCGGGCCATCACACCCGATCCAGCGACCGGGGAAGTGAAGATTTTAAAAAAATCCTCACACATTTAGCCCAATCTTGCTGAAGTCTTGCTGAAAAATTATCATAAGTTGCAGTTCTTATAATTGAAGGACTACATACAACTCCAATATAACCAAGTAAACAAAAAATTATCCAATGATTCCATTATGCATTACACCGCACCAAAGATTTAGTTTTTGACGGGCCCTTTAATTTTCAATCCCAGTCCTGGGATGTTAACTACTCTAAATTCTACAATTATTGTGTCTCTTAACCTTCCCACTTAAATAAATAGTCGTTGAACTGATATAGGGGATTGGGTTTCGTGAAACAAAAAACAAACTGTGATTTCTCTTGTAAACTCGCCATTTCTGATTTGTTATTATATTAAATCATAACTGTATTGTTGTCAATCAGCTGTGATTAGGTCTTACAAATTGCATTAACCAAAACATGATTTAATTCCCTTCAAAACAAGGCATACAAGTTAAGTGTGGCTCTAGTGGTTTTCGTACAGCAAAGCTATTAAATCAGACCAAGACTTTGTGGACACCCGGTATATATATATATATATATATATATACATTTGAAGTCAGATACAAAGAACATATACAGGCAATCAGATCAAACAATATGACAACACAAAATCCTCATACGCCGAACATATACTTCAGACCGACCATACATACTCAGAAATGAATAAAAATATGCACATTCTGGATATTGAAAATAAAGGTGAAAAAATGAATACAAAGGAAGACTTTTATATTTATACTCATCATATTAATGACAAAGACAATTTACTAAACTTGACACAAATTCAAAATCAAAACGTAATATTCAATGAAATTATACATCTTAAAGAAAACACCTCCTTCCCTTAATATAAAAATTATCACCTGTTCTTTAATAAGAAACTAGCAGAGTACCCGTCCTTCGTACGGGGTTGGCATATAAGTATCAAATGCTTATAGCAGTTATGAGTGAGGACATGGTTTAAGAAATTTCGGTTCTTTTTGAAGTTCGTTCGCTACGCTCACTCACCTTTAGGTTGGAGCTCGTTCGCTGCGCTCACTTTCCTTCAGGTTAGCTCGTTCGCTACGCTCACTTGCCTTCAGGTTAGCTCGTTCGCTACGCTCACTCGCCTCCAGGTTGAAGTTCGTTCGCTACGCTCACTCACCTTTTGCTGTTGTCATAAATGTAAAAGAAATAATAGTGCTAGTGCTGCACCCTGTTGGTAATCCTTGTAACTTTTAATGCTATTGAACATCATAGAACATAACCAACTTGTTTAATTGAAACAGCTGTTAAGATTCATTAATTCCATTTCTCATAAGGTTAACATGGGAAACTCCAGAGCCACTGGGGCGGAGCCCCGAAGGATTTTTTGGGATAAAAATATGCCTATATGTTAATCGGGAATGTGAGCTATCATCATGCCAAATTTCAGCCCGATCCGACCAGTAGTTTTTGAGATTAGCTCATACAAACACACACACAGACACCACCTCTTCTTTATAATAGTACTAGCAGAGTACCCGTCCTTCGTACGGGGTTGGCATGTAAGTATAAAGTGACATTAGCGTATGGTTTGACAGCTCCATTTAAGTAATGTTAAATAATGTTTACATTCAGGATAGTGACATCATTATTTTAAATATGATCCTTACCCTCTCTGTTCTAATATTCATGCAGTATTTAAATGAATGTTTGAACCAGCTGTATGGAATTGTGAAATCAAAATTAATTTGACAGTTAGTACTGCTTGTTTACATTTTTAAACTTTGTAGGTTTGTTCTTTGTTGTCATGGATACCATCAATCAAAATTTACTTTGAAATCTCTCACCTCCGATTTTTGAAAGCCCACGGGGCAGAGCCCTAGGACAATATTGAAGCGGGAATAGTTCTATGTGTATCCTCGGAACTGTAGCTTCATGTGTGTGCAATTTGAGCCCAATAGGTTCAGTAGTTTTTGAGATTAGCTCATACAAACACACACACAGACACCACCTCTTCTTTATAATAGTATAGATAGATAGATAGATATCTAATAATGTTTGTAAATAAAAGAAACTAATAGGTTATATACTATACTGTGATCATGGCATTAATGTCCGAAACATGTAAGTAATATAAAATAAAATGTTTTTAGGGTACTGTGGTATTTTGATTTGCTTAGTAATATATATATATATATATATGTGTGTGTGTGTGTGTGTCCGTTAGCACGATAACTCGAGCAAAAAGCATCCGATTTTGATGAAATTTGGTACAAACGTGTAAACCTACGTTTATTCGAACGAGTTCGCGAACCAGCATGATCGGACTATGGGAACGGGGGTTTATGGGGGGTTTTATGGGGTAAAAATAGGTTTTTCCCATTTTCGACCCTAAAAACACAAAATTTTACAATTTCTTTTCACACCATTTTGTAGAGCATAAAAAAACAAATAATTTAGTATATTGAAGCGTGTTTGTGCGCCTAATGGTTACGGAGAAAATTCCAAAAAACTGTAAATTTAAAATCCCCATGTTATTCTTATGGATAAAAAGTCAACTGTTGTAGTTTGCTTGTTTATGAACATATTTTGATCGAATTAGGAAAATGCATTAATTTCTTACTAACCTATTAACATAAAAAAAAACTTTTTACCCTCCCTGTTGCAGCAAACCTAAGTACTCGTTTAACTAATTCTATTTAAATAGGGAATAAATATGATATTTTTAAGGAGGCATTTTAGTGTAAATCCTATCAGGCTAATGGAAATTCGCTTAGTCTGCAGGTTTGCTGCGGCGGGGGTATTTGTTTGTAATGCAACGGTCCAAACTTAAAGATAAACAATCTCGACCATCAGAACTATTTCACTCGTATTGACTTGAAATACTCTTTAGCTGCTTAACTATTTTACCACACTAACTACACATGATTTTTTGCCCTCCATCTTATAACATCAAATGTGAAACCTCACAGATTATTCCAATCACACAATCCCTTAACACGCACAGCTTTAACCGATGCGTGAAACGATAGAGAGATGTTCATTAGCTTAATTGTATCAGGAAACGTTTCGGATGGGATCCGCACATCATCGTCCTCACATGTGGAAAGAATGTACTAACAAGGTAGTATATATGCGGTGGCCTGCATCGGTCTATCACAGTCGAGAAGATGAATCTGAGGATAACGGTACTGTGTGTGATAGTGGGGCTAGTGCTGGGTGTGATAGATGTAGAAGCTAGGGCAGTGAGTAGCAGGAGAGTTCATCAGGAGCAAGAGAGAAGACAAGTGGAAGGAGAGACTAAACGTGAAGGATACGACTACGGAGCAGGAGATCACTCTTTCGGAGTGAAGATACAACATCCATCGGCGAAGGAGACGCAGTCATTTCAAGATAGTGGGAGTAATGAAGGACATAAGGAACATACACATTTTGAACATCATCAAACATTTGAACACCACCCGCACGCAGAACGTCTAACATCTGTTGAACACCATGAACATCAAAGTCCTCAACATCAACCTCTTGTGCAACATCAATCGCAACATCAAAGCTTCCAACCGAGCCAGAAGGAAGACTTTGGGGAGTGGAAAGCCATTCCTCAACACCACCAGAGCGAGATCAAACTCGAGACTCATGGTGCTGTAGAGGAAATCCAACCGTACTACTCCGGAGGCGAAAGTCCCCAACAGGACATCAAACAGGGGGAAGACTTTAAACTCATACATGAGATAAACCATGGGATAGGAGATTTGAGCAATGCTGAACATTCTTTGGAGTTTGATCATCCCAAAGTAGAAGAACACATTGGGGAGCACGAGGAAGAGCATCATCACGAGGTGAAGACGGTGACAGTGACGAAGGAAGTCCCAGTGCCTTACACGGTGGAGGTGGAGAAGAAAGTGCCTTACAAAGTGGAAGTTCCTGTAGACAAGCCTTACAAAGTTGAGGTAAGATTCAAAATTATATGAGTTAATGTTTAGTGATTCATTTTCCCTTATTAATTATTTTTTCTTGGCAACAAATTAACTCTAAATTGTCTTTGTATTTGTTGACACATAAATTCAATCCAATAGTGATTTATCATTACAAGTGTTAATTGCCATGATATATTAGAAAGGGATTGATAAAGAATTTTGAAAAATATAATACTTTACATAGAACATTTTAAATTGATGATTTTATAAAATATACAACGACACAAATTTCATCTTCGTATTACATACAATGGCATATGCAACTACTGCACAATATTTTTGTTTGTTTCTTTGCTTTTGCAACAAACACACAATAAAAACAGTGTTATACTACCGTTAACAATCGCAATGCAATATAAATTGTTAAAACCGATCATTCCACCACAAAGTACCATTCACGTATACACAAAATATCAAATATCACAACAAAAATATGTCATCAGCATAGTAAAATGTTCTTAACTCTTAAGTTTGGTTAAAAATTAAAAAAGTAAATGCAGTATAACCGATAGCTATAGCAAACAATAATGTTAAAACTTTTACTATAAATCATAACTCTTTTTAAATTCATTAAGCTCATTGGCCTATTTTTTGTTTCTCCATTATTGCATACATTTGTTTTTCATTGCATAATATTTGCAGTCACGATTTCGAACAATATCACCATCCTTTTCTCAGGATCGTATACTAATCAGTTTATTGCGAAAAGACATTTTGGTGTCATGTAAATTTTACTTTCCATTTATTGTGAACATGTTGAACTTTTTGAGCATCTACTCTTTGAAATTTTACAAAGCCAAAGAGTTTTATTCTATAAATATTTAAAACTAAACCGAGGTGGCTATCGTATTTAACTACAAAATAGTATATATCATTTAAAAAAGTAGAAAGTGAGTCATCAAACATTTGAGATCATATTTAAAATGGGATATAAATCTCGTACTTGAAAATATATAGTCTCAAATATAAATTAACCACTTTCACTCTTGTTTTGAAGGTATTTTTCGCTACAATACAATGACTAATTATTTTTGAATTAACAATAGACATTTGAAGTATTTTTTTTGTTACAGCTAGGAACATTTGAAAACAAATGGCATTTTTTAGCTTAAACCTTATATCTTTCACCATTATAGTCAATGCTTATATTTAAAGATCAAATTTAGATTGATTGTACAGTTCTGGTCGTTGTGGATTAAAACGGTTGATGAAACAATAACAAATGTTCATTTGTTTATGTCGGAAAAAGCCTAAAATTATAATAAACATTATTTTTACAACGTAAACATTCTTTTTGCGTAGTATAAACAATGTTATAACGAATTTAGAGAGTGATAAACATATAAAAAAACAGACGATTTCACAGTAGTGCATCTAAAAACCTTATTACACTCATCATTAACTTCCAGGTGCCAAAGCCATACCCAGTCTACGTCGAGAAGAAGATCCCCTACAAAGTGAAGGAGTATGTGCCACAGCCTTACACCGTCTACAAGAAAGTGCCTTACACAGTGAAGGTCCATGTGGACAAGCCTTACCCCGTCCATGTACCGAAGCCTTACCACGTGGTTGTGGAGAAGAAAGTGCCTTACCACGTAGAGAAGCACGTGCCTTACCCAGTCAGAGTCTACGTAGACAAGCCTTACCCCGTGCACTACCCTGTGTACAAGCACGTACCTTACACCGTCGAGAAGAAGGTCCCTTACCCGGTCAAGGTGCCTGTGGAGAAGCCCTACCCGGTGTCGGTGCCAAAACCTTACAAGGTTAGTAGTGGTTTATAGACATAAAGACCTTGTAGCTTTGAAGGGCTGGATATCTCTAGTGGAAATACCAATTTTGTCTTCCTTCAAGAATTGATCCATCGTAAACTGTTGGATTTAAACCTTCATTTCATATATTTAACGATGAACATCGCGCAAAATATATCCACACCTCAGTGCGAAATCGCAAACCTTGCTCAATTTGTTCAAATATCTTTTCTGGTCTCACGGACATGAATAAATGTATTCAGAATGTTCAAAATATCACGATTTAAATTTTTAAAAAATCAACCAGTTTCGTCGTTTGTATGATTTCAGAGAGTTTATCCAGACATTTTGCCATGAAAAGGCAAAATGGCACAAAAAAACTTAAGTCAAAAAGCCTTTCCCAATATTTAAAATTGTACCATGGCACCACCATGTTCAAAGCTGAAGCTTTGGCAGATTTTCCTTATTTTTTACAAAATAAATTGCATGAGAAAAACATAGAAAGTTTAAAATTGATGTAGTGGGTTTAGGTAACCAGAACCACTCAATTATGATGTTGTCGTTGCTCACTTTTGATCTGTGTTTAAAAGGATTATTAGCAAGTTATATTCGCACAAAATGGTATCATGCACAATTAATACATTCCCTTCATTTTCAGGTATACGTAGAGAAGAAGGTGCCGTACACAGTTGAGAAGCCGGTACCATATCCAGTCCATGTCCCGGTCTACCATCAGGAAAAACATGAACACTCTATACATCACGAAGGGCCACACGCATCACACGAAATTCCCCACATATCACACGAACACTCTTCCTCTCATCACGAAATCCCACACATATCACAAGAACACTCTTCCTCCCATCACGAAATTCCACACATATCACACGAACATTCTTCCACCCATCATGAAATTCCCCATATATCACACGAACACTTTTCCTCTCATCACGAAATTCCCCACATTGCACACGAACACGCTTCCTCTCATCATGAAATTCCCCACTTTTCACAACACCATTCTTCCGTTCACCACGAAATCCCACACACATCGCAACAATCACACCATGAATACTCTCCCAAGTTCCACCAATTTGAACAAAATAGACACGGGCATTTTCACCATGAAACTCCTCACACATTCCACGAATATGCTTCTGCCAGTCATGAAGTCCCTCAGAAATTTTATGCTGAACAGAAAGCTCACGAAAGTTCCCACCACGAAGTTAAACTTCCCCTAAACCAAGGGAATGATGGAGATCAACCTTCCCATATCAAAAGGGAAGAAATTAGGGAACAGAAAGTTTCGGAGAGTCGTCAGCACGAGTCCAGACAAGGTTCAGACCATCTTGTCAATCAGGAGTTGAAAGCTTCTACTTATAGACCTCCAACTTCTTCTTGAGCTTTGGAGAAGTTCGATCATTCGTAGAGGTTCAGAAATGCTGGTGCTCTATAAAGCCCAGGAAAGACCTCCTTAGGAGGCGTTTGAATAGACTGATGTAAATATGCACTGTTCTTGGAAATAAATTATGTTATTTAATTTGTCATAACTACTTTCTTCACCCCTCGACTGGAATGTACTGTTTACAATGTCTATCCAATTAAAATAAATGTTTTCCTTTTAATTCTTGGCAAGATGAACCCAATGAACTTATGCGAAGGGATTAAGTTTAAAACATCGTGAAAAATAAAGCTTTACAATGTCTATTTTAAGTTTTAATAATGCATGAATTCAAAGATCATTTAATTTTTGGAATTAACAAATTTTTCATTAAAAAATAGGTTTAGAATATGCAAAAACTTATTAACGTCCAGGGCAATTTTATAACAATAATTTTAACCAAATTAATATATATATATATTTACAAAGTATGTTGCTAGTAACGTTTTTAGGATGTCTTGGCTTTGAGCCTTGAAATTTACAATACGTGCTTTAAATAATGCTAGATAACCTGTTGCTCGAATTCGAGCAAAACTGCAACTTGTAATAAAAGAATAAAGAACAAAAACAGCAAGACCTCAATCAAAGAGTAACTCTAATGTTAGTAAAAGGCTGATTATACACAAATATAAAAATATTATGTTGCAAAAAAATTATAAAAGTAATCTACAATGGTTAATAGATCCGCTATCATACAGCTTTGGTTATCTCACTTATGAACTGTAGGTGGGTGCACTCTAGCGCACGTACATGTCAACCACTCTCTGTAAAGTGTTGACCAAACAACACAAAACAACTCTACAAATAAATTATGATACACATTGTAAATTATCAAAAATTATAAATTAATTATATGGTAATGTAACAGGTAACTGCGTTGCGAATAATCAATTTTAAACATTAACTTCATCACCCTGAACTAAAACCAAAGCTAAGTTTATTGTACTAATTAAACCTAGTTTCCATTATTTTATAAATCTCTAGCCTACACTAAATAGCAAACTTTACAATAAATAATACGAATGAATAACAAAAATCTATTTTTTGCTTTTAATTGTTTGCAGAGTAACAGAGAAGACGTAAAGAGTTTTAGTATTGATCTAACAAAACTTCAAACCCACATAAGTAAACCACTGTGTTTGAGATTCCCGCATAGTTTCCATGCAAATACCGAGAACTGCTGAACTAGAACTAACAGGTCTCGTATCACTAGTTTCATAGTCGTTCTAACTGCATTCAAGCCTCTATCTGAGACATTAAACTGAACTGACCGGAAGGTTATTGAACAAGCGTAGTTATAAATAGTTAGCTTAACTATTCAAATAATAGTTATAGTGTATAAAATAGTAGTTTTATTCAAATATTAATTGTACACAAGCCTACAATTATGTTCATATTAATTTTTTTGGGATTCCACTTTTAATTATTTTCACCATCTCTGCCATATACGAGTATGTAGTTTGGTTACAAAATTATTAATGGGAAAATAAATTTTACTTGTTCCATCCAATAATCAAACGGGTTCTATCTAAGCAGGTATGTTCTTCACTATATTAAGCCTGAATATACACAAGTTACACCAACGGTCGACCATATGAATGTAGGTATTTTAAGCCAAGTATGAATGGAGATTGGTCATCATAGAGGACCCCAAGCTACAAAGTACCACTCTGATAGACTTGCAACCCTTACGACGATAGGGAGAATCCAGTAATCTTAAGCCACACATATTTTAGTAGTTAATTAAACAAAATTCCATAGAAAAATAATCATGGAGTTTTTTTTTTCCATAGGCAACGAATTACTTAACTACATCTCTGTTAAAGACAAATACAGCTGAAACTATTTTCAACGGAGGGATGCCCAAACTCATAGTCAAAAATTCAAAATACTCCTTACTCCTTAATAAACTACATAACAAAAGAGTCGAATAGATAATATAATTAATTATTATTAAAAATTATAATAAAAATAATTAATGAAATAAAAACTAAAACCACGATAAATGAATTAACATATAAATGTACTGTAATAAATACTTGTCTGGGCTACCATTGCTACTACTGTTCTACCTGCGCTTTACAACGGAGTGAGGATCAGTTAGAGAGGGCTTATCCCAACTCCGAGCGGTGGTCAGAAATATGTCAAACCCGACTGTCCAACTCCGCGCGGTGGTCAATTTTGGCCTGGAGCTGTGAGTTTGTATTTGAAGTTTGAAATTGTTATGAATGTACATAATTTAGTACTGTAAGAAACCACATTTACTAATAAAATGAAATTAATTAGTACAAAATATTAGGCCTATACTTGTGTTTCATTTGAATTTACCTATCATTAACCTAACCTAACCTAACCAAACCTAACCTGTCACATGAACAAAGTAGCTATGAACATTTAAAAGTTTAACATTATTTTGGGGACACACAGTATGTATATAGAATATTTTACATTAAACACATCATATCTCATACGAAAGCACGTTATACTAAAAGTGACCACCGCGCGGAGTTGGACTGGACCCTTCGGGGGCCATAAAACTTGTCCTCGGCTTAAATTTGACCACCGCGCGGAGTTGGGCTATCCCCGTTAGAGAAGCAATAATGTTTTTGTAAATTAAATTCAGCAACTACATTAATCATATAGTTGTTGTTTCCACATAATTTTTAAACAAATACAAACACTCCCATTGTTTGGTCTGAACCACCTGCCTTTCATGATAAAATTTATAATTTTTTCAAATTAAACGGAGTACGTTTAAAATAGAATGTAAACTCAGTGGTTATTCGTTCATTGCCAGATGACAATCATTGATGGTCCCTAGTATCTAACCTTAGGTAAACCGAGGTCTAAATTGAAACGGGAATAAATCTACTGTAGTTTTAACCTAACTGTCATTGACCATTGTAATCGTAGATCATCTCACTTCATTACACACACTTACCACTGCACCACACACCACACGAACCGTGCATTCATATACCGGGCGGCACACTCCTCTGTATGTGTAGTCTCCTAACACCCGGTAAGTAGTGGATGTGATAAATACGGGTGTAGGTCAATTGAATCAACGGTTATCATGGTTATGAGATTATCTTTGTGCAACACTTCAGCTAATTTGGTCCAGTGGGTTTAGTGTTTTAGTTTGATAAAAATCTACTTCAGCTTGTCCATATTGGTTTGTTCACTTCAGTATCTTCTACCCTCCACAGTCAAGCTAAGCCCCATGGAGGTGCCAGAAGTGGAAGGGAGGGAGGCCTAGTAACCCAGTGAGGGTGCCGGACCGTGGCGGAGGTACGGTACCGAGGACAGGGAACCGAGGAGGTAGTCACTAGTCAGTGCGACGTCGTGCCGGTACCATGGTCGGTAGTGATACAACCAGCGGCTGTGTGCTGGGAGCATGGCTCGTGGTACTTCTACAGGTAAGATAGGGGTGAATTGTGTTGGAATTAATAGGGAGTTTTTAAAGTGTGGAGTAGGATCTTAAAATTTAGGAAGGTTTACATTTGTACTTGACTTAGGTTTAAGTTGATTTTTATCTGTGGTTAACAATAGTATTTTATAGTTTCATAAGGGAGAAATCGTTGCAAAAACGTCGATTTTATTGAAACCCTCTTACAGTATTTACAAGTTTTGATGATTTTAGCAGTATCCAAAATCGCTGGAAAATAAAAATAAAATATATCTAACTTAATACAACAAGGGTTTCTCTTTAATATACCTTTTTCAACTGTGATACTTGAACGGTTTTCACAATTGAAGTGTATATTTAAAGCTTGTGATGCACCTGCGAACGGGAACAAAAAGGGTAGTTTCCGAACTTCGCCCCCTCGCCCCCTATTTTTTCAATTATTTCTAGAGTTCACTTTCAAAAATTAAGTGTTTCTGACAAACTTTCTTTAAATGGTTTAAATATGAATTTTAATCCAACAGATGATCCTTAAGTTGAATGGTTAACACAGTCAAATAATTGTAAACAAGAGACAGAAAAAAAGTTTATGAAAATGTATTTTTGTCTACTTTTTTAATGAACTGCAGTCTGATTGAGGTTGGTAAATTCTTCTTTAGTTTATATAGTGTAGATCTAGATATTTTGGTATTGCATTAATATTTTTACCTTGTAATTAAGTTTTTAACTCTAAATGCGCATGGGTCACCTCGTAGACACTACTTAGTTAATCTTTTGGGTGATATGAAACTATAATAGTCTGGAGACAGAGATCTAGGTCGATATAAAAACTTACAATAGGCTAACTTATAATAGTAATTTGGTCCAGTGGTTATTTTTTTGACGGTAATACATACATAGTAAATAATACAGGGTGAATACAAAGTCAAGACCCCCCTCTAATATTTTTCCAAGTATATATACAGATATATCCTTTTGGTGGTCGTGCAATCTTAGCAGGAAGTTTCATTTTATGATTTTGAAATATTTGAGTTACCCCCCAAATCCCCCCTTTTGGGGGACACTAAAAAATTTCAAAATAATAAAATGAAACTTCCTGCTAAGATTGCACGACCACCAAAAGGATATCTCTGTATATTTAATGGGGAAAATATTAAAGGGGGGGTCTTGACTTTGTATTCACCCTGTATAATCGATGACTTTATGTGGGAAATAACAAATAACTGACAAAGCTCCTGCGCTCAAGATACTCAAGTTTGTCGCACCTTCATAAAGAAGTGAATACCTCTACATTTTAATTTAATGTTTTTTATTAGGTTTAATCAAGGGGTTAGAACTTTTACTATCTTACAAATTCTGTTTTAATTTATTAAGCATGCGATTTTATTTCCATAATTTGCAATAATCTAGAAACCTCATCGATGTGAAATCCCTTGACGTGAATTTGGGGACTCATTTACACACTGGTAATAAATAGCTATTTACCACCTTCATTGAATACGCATTTAAAATATATTCAACGCTATTAATGTAATGTAATGTATTAATGTATTTACTTACCTTACTGTACCTCCGTGGTCACTGAAACCTTAGGAGGTTTTTCGGCACGCCAATATAGTTCTCCTCCATTTCCTTCTATCGCCTGGCTATTCTAATTCAACCCCCAGTCTGGAGATGTCTTTACATTTCTTCTTGGTCCATTCCATTCTTAAAATTCTCAGTCCCATACAAAAACTTATGTATAATTCACAAATTTTTGTCGATCAAAACACCAGCACGTCACATTGCCCGGTCTTTCGTAGCTTACATTCTGAATATTACTTATTAGATTTATATACTTTACAGATATTACAAACACAACACTTGCATACAATTTAATTATTTATCTCGCTTCGATTTTAGATTTGCTGAAGCTAAAAATTATTGCACTTGGGATTAATTAAATCCGTTATTTAAGACACAAGGTTAATTAATCTCACTTGATTTTGAATTTGCTTACAAAACGTGTTCGGAAAATTACACTATTTGTAAACCACTTTTAATGTAAAACGTATCAGTACAGTTTGAAGAAGGAAAGTTTATCCAAACAAATGTTCTTTATTTTATTGATGGCATGTTTTCTACACAAATGGTTGGTAAATGACGTATGTAGTAAACATAGGAGAAAATGTGACAAACATCGCACAAAACAGGGTTTTTGAAAGTTTGTTAGTTTTTACAAAGTAGTTAGGAGCTAAAGACATTCTCGCCAATCCATTGAATTCAGGAAAACGGTTTGAATCTTGATCAGTACTCTAGCTTTCTCGGAGTAGGCCACGTAAATTGGCATTTTGGTGTCATCCCTACAATGACAGACAGACATTAATTGAGTTAAGATTCGTTTCGGCTTTTTCAGGCTATTAAAAGTCAAAGTAACAAAATACTGCATGGTTTTACACAATGCACAGATAAAACTGTACATTTCTATTTTATTTATATATAAATGAAAACTATACCGTGCGATTATAAAAATCTTAATTTAACTCCTATTGTAATTTCCTCAGTATTTACTAAGTTTGATTAAATTTATGTCTGACATTGAGATTAATATTGTTGCTAAAGTTAAATAAACTTGAATACTTAGAAACATGTTAAACATCACGATTAGTTACAACGCGGAGCAAAACATGTTTTAAATCGTAACCATGGAGTCGACCTACACACCACGAATACTAGAAAAGACCCGGTATTGATAATAAACATAAACAAATGACGTTTTTGGTCCGAAACGAAACAAAACCGTATGTTAATTAATGTTATTAGTGTTGGGGTTTTGTTTACTTTCGGCCCAAAAACATAATTTGTTTATGTTTACGACCCATACCGGTATTTTTATAGTATTCGTGGTACACACCACTAGTTAATAATTTATTTTCTTTCTATAACCATAACGCATACTTTACACAAAATCACTATTATACTATGCGAAAGCTTAGTAACCTAGTGATTCTAGTACTCATTATGGTAAGTAGTCACAATAAGAAATAGGGAAAAATCTCTTAGAGAAGAATCACTGCCTTCTTATAACAAGTTTCTCCGTTGAAGAAAAACATGATTTGTGTTTTAGCACACATAAAAGAGTGGAGATACGAAAAGTAGATGGCTATTGTCATATTGTCTACTATTTATCCTGTGATTTTAGTAAAACTCTGGGTCAAAGCCCAGTCGGTAAGGCGCGTACTACGTAGAAACGCGCGTACTACTGTATATAAACATGGTACAGTCGTGGATCATGTCGTGGTCCGTGACTACCGCCGCTGCTGCTGCACCGGTGAACTGGGGGAAGTGGAGCCTGCTTCCTCTCCATCCATCTCTGGGAAATGGCGGCAGAATGTTACTATTACCGGAAACAATGTTCAAAATCGTTCGACCAACTTAATAATTCGTTTAGAAACCTGAGCTCAGGAAAAGTTGTCCGGGGACTTAAGGCGTTGTCACTAATATGGCCAAAGAACTGTGGACGTCCATGATACATTTTCTTTACCCTATTTGGCGTCGCTTTTGAATGACTTAGTTGTTTATTACCAGTTCTATGTAACTTCGAGCCAACAAGATTTAACAGAAATTTTACCGAGGCTACCTCTCTCAGGTCAAATAGCGTTACAACTGCTGATTTCTAGCAATGGACGTTCGCTTCTGCTTAACGTACACTAATTTGGCATATCATCCAAATATACACTTTTAAATCTATATTTAAAAAAATTGTAATTCAGATACCATGAGTGTTGATCAAAGTGTGTCCAAATAGTTTACGCTTATTTCAATTGTACATTTTCCGTACCTAAGTAATTTTCGGACTTCGGTAAATTACAGTTGAATAAAATGGATAAAATAATAATGCTTAAATGTCTACCCATTCTTTGTAGAATTTGCAGACTTAATCGTACTAATGGTTAAGCTTTTCAAGGTTTTACTAATGAAAAATACATCGCTATAGTAATACTTTAACCACACCGTTTAAAACGCTGTTAAAAATATAAACGAAAGCTGACTATGTTCATCCTATCAGTTAACAAACCCCTTAAAAATTGGTGAATACCTACCATGTACCTTAAAATATTTTTTTATGTAACTATGCATGTTTCAAGAAAAGTCAACCGTTTGTGGTGGGTAGCCAAAAAGTCTTTATTATAACTTTGTTCCGATAATTGGTTTAGTAATATAATACTTTTTACATACTTTGTCCTTTGTCTTATCCAGTGCAACTAGCTCTATAGTGCATGAATAGTTCAATAATTAGTTTTGATATCAGTTATTCCAACAAAGATAGTTTCCATTAAAAACAAACAAGAGTAGATCAAGATCCATTCAGTATATTGGTGGTACACTTTCCAGGATCCTAGGTCATCTGTTTTTCACAATCGTAGCCGCAAACAAAGTATGTCAGGAAACCCACAGCATCAATGAAGGAAAGCGTGTCATCTTTCTCCAAATGTTTTGACAGTTAAACGGCGTATTTTACACATATCAAAATAATTTGACAGTAAACGACATACTACACAGGTCAGAACTATTTGAAAGTATATGACTTGTTTAGTACTTCCAAATGTTAAGCGTTACAATCATCTGATTCGTTCTTTATGGTCAAATACATCCGGATGTATTATGTTTTCTCTTTGAGTGATCGATATAGTTAGATCGTTGGTTAGATCTACAGGGGTCGCCGGAATTTTATCCCCCTGGAAGTTTACCCTCTGGGCAAAGCTGACGTCACTATGACGTAGTAACCTGAGCGCTCAAAAGTTTGTTCGCAGGCGGAATTTTACCCCCGCGGATTTGGAAGTCTAATGAAAATAGACAGAGTGAGTGTGATTAATTATATTAGCAATAAAAACCGGAATTTTACCCCCTGTCCATATAACTAGTGTTAAGACAACTGAAGATGTCCGGGCCGAATTTTTACCCCCGGTTTTTTACCCCCGGTTTTATACCCCCCGGAATTTTACCCCCTGGCTGGATGTAGAAATTATTAAGAATGATTGATTTTTAAAATTTCTTTTTTTATTTAATTGTAAACATTTTATTATTAATTAGGCTATCTTTATTTATTTATTCTGTAATCTCAACTAAGTAAACAGAATTCGCTGTTTAATTTTGATGTTCGGGATTTGCGTTCGGGGCCAACTGTTGGTTAATAAGTACCTATGTAAAATAAACTGAGTAGCTCATTTAAATTATAATTCGGTGAAAATTTCTTCGTAAAAAAACAATAAGGCATACTGTATTTTGTTATTGTTGAAATACAAACGAAAACATTGTTTTACCACGGTTGTAAATCGTTAAAGAAATCTTCGAATGAATTACCATTCTGATGTTGGTTTATACGTCATATTAACCAATGGTTGGCTTCAAAGATCGAATCCTGATACTCGAATCTGAAAATTAAAATTAAAACCCTGTTCGATTAGTTGATGTTACAAATAAATTAATATAGGCTACAATAAAACTGAATGAAGATAATTAACCATTTTCACTAATTTATATATCTGGCCAGGGGGTAAGAGTCCGGGGCTAAATTCTGGCCCGTACACTCTAGGTTTTTATAATTTGATGTGTTCTGATTAAATTCACAACCGTGAAAATATACGTTTAATTCTGCGTTCAATCCATCGAACTGATGTCGCGTAACTCAAAAGTTCGCGGCCGGAATTTTACCCCCTAGTTTGTGACGTCACGTTTGCCCAGGGGGTAAAATTCCAGCGGGATAAGAATCCGCTACCCCATCTAGCGTAGCGTTGTTGTAGTTATTCAAGAACAATTTCCGTTTATTTATAAATAGTTGTACCAGCTTGGATTTGCAAGCATCAAAAACTCGCCATATGACTTTTATGAAGCTTTTATAATCTATAAACATAATCTATAAAATATTTCCATTCTAAATTCAGGCTATACAAATCCCAAATCCCTAAATCATGCTTAGGTTACATCATTTTAAGAGGTCCAAAGGATAACATGATTTCTTAAAGGCTCGTGAGGTTGGGCCCTGACTTAAATCTGTAAGTATACTACAAAATTTGAAGTAAATATACAAATGAGTTTTAAGGTATGCATTATTTGTAATTACTGTATATAAATCTATCAATTGAAATACATTAAAAAGGGTTTTTGTTTTAAATCAGTTCCTTTGCATCTTGTATGTACAATGTGTCTTCGCATGTTATTTTCAATTTCAATGGTAACGCTCTCAATAGATTGGTTCTTCAGAATTCCTACAACAGTCTCAATGATATTGATGATAAATATGATAATGCAACTTATAATAAAATTATGGATTGCTCAGTGCTGTAAATAAATCCGCGTTGTATAGTGTGTTTAAGAGTAAAACATTAAAGCGTAAACGATTAAAAATATCTATGAAATTATCAAACATAAAGCTGCAACATAGTAGAAATTAAATACAAAAAAGTTTCACAGTAAACAATGCGAAATATTTATTACAACACCGTCCAAAATATAGCACGTTCCTGTTTATGACTCAGGTACCCTAACGGCAACAGTAAATTACCTATATTAGGTTCTCGGTTGTAAAATGTTGTCTAAACATAGCAGTTCCCACGGATGGTTCCGTCAACGCCGCACTGCCGCAGCGTGGCGCACGATTGTAATCATTGCGCCGGATTGTGAGCGCATAAGCTTGCGCGGGCCCTGCGCAGCGCAGTAGGTCGCAGACAGCAACGGTTCCCGGTTATCATTAAAACATCACGCGCGCATGGGCAAAACGATTACTGCGCGATCCGTTCCACTTTGGCCACAGAAACTTTGGGAAAATTGAATCCGTGTGAAATCGCTATTGTCTTAAATTGTGGATTTTGTAATGCAAATCTGATTGTTCTCGCACTCTGCGGAAATGGGAAATTCGAAGTTTTGATTCAAATGTTGACATTTTGATTTCCTTTACTTTTGTTAGTTTGATAGACTGAAAAACACTTTGCATTTTATTGCTACAGCCTTTTTACAGAGTTAGACATCGCACTCCTGTGTTAAAGTGCTGCAGTAGTTTAATTCAGACTAAATTTAATTCAATAATTGGTTTCTGTCGAATTACTCCACATTTATTACGAAGCTACTCAACAAAGTCACATGTCGACGAAGAAGATCTTGTTAATATTTAGTTAAAACGTCGATCAACTTGCATGTCGACAAAGTGGCGTGTTGGTCATTTGGCCGCCCCTCAACGTACTAGTATAGGCCCCCCTACACTACTCCTCCCCAATTTGAACTTCTATCATAAACCGCATTAGATAGTTGTGGCTCAATTAAAATGTTTACTCTCCTATTGTTTTACAAAAAAGTGGAAATCACTCCAAAAACATGATAAACAAGTATTGTTGAATACTCGTCATTTATTTACACCAAAACATGTTTAAGCTCCTGTCACTAACGTCCTTGTAACAGTCCTAGACACCCAGAGACGTGTTGGAAAGTTCCTCCGTCGCCGTGATAGTCTCCAGTCAACCATACATTGTGTGGTCCAGAACTGATGGAATCTGCAACAAAACGATCCCGGTACAGCATTGGTCACACACACGACGAGACGCACTGTTTAACCAGTTCATTGTATGGCACACAAGTTAAGCCTCTCGTTGTCATATATGGGTCACAGCAGTATATTCCTCACTGCCCCGCATAACTGGGTAACTGTACGTCTGATTGTAGTGGCAGTGGAATTATCATTATTGCATTTCCTTCATCACGGACTTCCGGACGTTGGCTTCCTCAAGAAAGTATGAATAAATTATATCTGCATGTCAAGTCATATTTGCGATTCAACCGTGGTTATGAACAAAAGCGGTTATACTTAATGAAACATAAATAATCCAGTTACACAAAAGGTAAAGCATATTTGTTATTTTTGTTCAGGAATCTTAACTCAATATTTTTATTTTTCCTCGCGAGAGAAAGTTTACTGTTTGATCCAAGTTCACCACGAATAAATTAGTTCAGTTAGTAGGTGGGTTTGTTTCTTGGAGAAACACACGAAATTGTGTTTGCAAAAGTTTAAAAGTGTGAATTAAAAACTGTTTTATTTCATCGAGTTACATCGATACACAATAAGACTTCGGCAATCAATGTATTCTTACGAAAAACATGCGATACAACGTCATTTAACAAGTACGTGTATAAACAACCGTTAGACGCAGAATGAAAATGTAAATAATTAGTCTCATGAACTAGTTGAAAATAAATTGAAGATTTTTGAAGATATTTTCCAAAAACCGATTAATGGGCAAAATGCTAAGAAAGTTTTAAGATTAGAATGAAGAGAATGAGTAGTTGTGTCTGATCTCGCATGGCAGTTAAACCTGTAATATATTTTTTATATTAGATGCTAAACATGTGCCATTCTTTTACTCGGCATTGTATAAGAGTTGATAGTGTTAAACCATGTACATAAGGTATGTATTTAATTTAATTTAATGAATTTAACGATCACAGGAGGACCAGGTCCAAATTCCACCGTTCAACAATACTTTTTCCATTCACCAGTCCAAAGGACACACGACAGATAATTTCCAGAGAGGTAATATTAAAGCAATGCACCAAAACATAAAAATCGTGTCAACGCCAGGAACCTAACTGTTTTAAGAGATAACATGTTTCCCGATAACCTAGTGTACAAGCCAGTGGAATAGTCACCATTTAGTAGTGAGAACAACGCATTTCTTTAATGGAAACTTCAATAAATAATACAGTATTGTGTAAGAGTAAGTTATATATATAAGGCCACCTGTAACACCAACCGTCGATGTCTCTTCAAAGGCTGTATGAATTTCCTTCACTATTGTCACTAAATTGATCGTTATAACTCACTAAAAAAAATTAAAAGCACTATTAAATGTTTTACCATAGATACACCTGAAAAATACTGTAATAGAATTACAAATATATAAAAAGGTAACATTTTTTTTTTAAGTGAGACCATTTGTTAACTGGGGTTCTGGATAAACTTACGATTGTTGTAGCTTATACAGTATTACCTATCAAAGCTAAATTTTAGCCTATCACGTACATTAATCATCAAATATAATTTATGCTCATTTTTGTTACAGATATCTGGAGTTTTCACACAAGACTATGATGGTAAGTAAACTATTTAATTATTGCTCAGGTAATTTACGCATTAGCTTAAATTAAGTTCAAGGATTATTTCAGAATGTTTTACATATTCAACGTATACGGTGATTTTAATTTTCAAATATATATTTTTATATCTCTACATATCTGATCAATTTTTGGGGCTTCGTAATTTAAAATAATCTCTTTTGGTGACAGTAGTATGCTTTTTACGGTTTCACTTATTTTCTTACTATCGATCAATACGTTTTCCCCTTATGTTAAATGTCTTCTGAAGCAATTTCTTCATTATTAACAAAAGAATGCTATGTATTACTTCTTATCTGCATCTGACTTTTAAAAAGTACTAATTTCAGAGTGTGTTGCCAATAATTGTAGTCAAAATCAATATGTTAACCATTAACATAATTTTTAACTAATAACCATGTAGTTTGTAAGTGAAAATTGAATGTAAATTAATATGTCCATACTGTATTTGATACCTACTGTATTAATTTTATGAAATTAAATTTATTTTACGTATGAACATAAAAATTATGATAAATATTATCTAAAGATTATGGTTATTCAACCTATAGCATGATGATTTCACGGTGCAAATTGTTTAGAAACTTAAATCAACTATAGTTCAAGTTTGTCACATATGTCTTACGGGCTAACATTTAATTACTGTAATTAGGAATTGTGTTTATTCTTTTTTATATTAATGGGATCCTTTAAATGTTAAAATGACTGTACTACTTTTCAAATAACAGAGTGGCACACACAAAGAGTAATAATAGAAAACAGATTGTTTACACCTTTTTACTCTATGGTTATGGATCGTAATGGCCTCCATGGATCCCATAGAATATCCCATTACTCCAGATTCCAACAGTAAAAACACCATCAGAACCACAACGGTTGTAAACAATCTATTGAGTCACTGGAGGATAGGGAAATAAACGATATTTATGAGTGGAAAAAGTGTGAGCAAAGTAATAAAGTGCCGTTAGTAGCACTTCCTGGCGGCCAGGGACGGAAACAAAGCATCTTCTGGCGGAAAATGTTCATCAATAACCATCGTGGTGAAACGCTACTGTTATAATATCACTAGAGACCTCCTTCCACAATAATGACGTTACGGATAGAATAATATGCATAGCGAAGAATAGCCTTACATAGGTACTTGACTTGCAGAACTGATCACAAAGTAAGCCGAGAATTTGATCAGAATAGGCCTACAGGAAATAATTTAACCATAACGACAAAAATATTTGTGGCTTTTAATAATAAGGGAACCCTGCGAAATAAAATGGGGTTTCAGGTTACCTCCTTCAGAAAATTTTTAAAATTTTTCCACAAACAAATTTTTTACTCAATATTTGTTTTATTTATTGAGAATTTATAGTTTTTCCCATCATTTTTAAAATTAGTAAACATTTGGTTGGCCCGTTTTGTAGCTCAGGGCCCCCCTGCCCATATAGATGGACCCCCATACGAAGAGTTGACCGCATAAAATGACCATAAGGTACTTAGTTCATTCAAAATAAGAAGAGTTTTGATTTGATTTGATTTCAAACCCCAATAGTTGTCTCCAAAGGCTAGGAACCCAATCAACATAGTGAGCGGACATATAACATAACAGCAAATACCAAAGTATGGGGAGATCTACTGCAGTGTTAACACCGAGGTCAGTATCAGGATCTCTCCAGGAGTCCTGTAGCGGTCCCTGACGTCCCACAGGACACGGGACGTCCTGCCAGGATCGTTAAACAACCGCCACGGACGGATGAACATCACGGAGTCGTCGCCGTCAAAACATACCGGGACTTGGATAAAAGCGAAATGTCACATATTTATTGTTTACTAAAGGTAGCTGGAATCAACAGCTTTCATTTTCACTTATTGCTGTCTATAGTAGTTAGTTTCGTTAGGAGGAAAAACCCGATTTTCCACAAAGATTAACGGATTAAACAAAACCGATACCGGCAAACAAGCGAGGATTGCAAATGGAATGTTTTGATGTGCGCAATTTTTCTTTGTAGAACCTCTTTAATCCGAACCCCCGTAATCCGAACGTCCACTAATCCGAACCCCTCATTGCTGTACTCTATACACAGTACAGCAGTTCTTTATTGTATACTGTATATAATGTACAGTACTGTTAGTTTATTCAATATGTTTACTACTGTATTAAATAAACACTGTATTTTAAATTATAAAACATTTGTTCACTTTTCCCAAAATAATTTCGATCCATTTTAGCCATGTTTTAGCTATTTTTATGTAAAAAAACAACAATATGTTCTATAATCCGAACTATTCAATAGTCCGAACCACCCCTGGTCCCAATTAGTTCGGATTAAAGAGGTTCTACTGTACAGTGCTGCAAACATTGTTTAACTTGTTATTTCTCATGGTCAATTTGTTAACTTGTCTGCTTTCAAAGTTAATACAGTATTATAAAGGGAGACAAGTCTCTACATATTATTTACAAACGGTGACAAGATAAGACCAAAAATAATAGGGTTGGTCGTGATATAATTTACAAGTAGGTAGTTAATCAGAGAGTGGGCCAACAAAAGAAATTTAAATTTATTTACTTGTTAAGTTACTAAAAGTATTGTTAACAGCGAGTCCACATTAAACAGTCAAAATACCATGTTTTAGCGAGGTTGTTTCGCAAGTATAAAAAACCTCCACAGGCTTTGATCAAGGTAACAACGCAAAATTAATAACAAATGCATACTGTACATACTATAAACGAGGTATCATAATTTATAGTTTTGGTTGGCCCAATTTTGAGTGATAGTTACCTATAGCTTCCTGGTTAGTTCATAAACAGATCCTCGTACGAAAAGATAAAGTAAACAATACAGATTACTCAGAGTAATCGGTTCTCACAAGTGAATGTGGGATAATCACCGCAACCGAGTAATTGCTCCAGATAGATAACGATAAACCGACTACTGGCATCGGATCACCGTTAGGAGGGAACGCTTTAATGACGAACGATCCGGGAAGTCTGGGACCGGTCTCACGACTGTCAAACTGGTGTCACCTAGATACAATGTTGTCACAGGGAATGTGTTGGAGTATGTGAGAATCTATCAATTGTTGAGGTAGATAATGTATTTACCATATGAGAGGTTCAATAAATCAAACTTTGCGTCACCTACAGCTGGGAAGCTAAGTATTGTGCTCACTTAGTAATCAAAAGGTCACGAGTTCGATCCTGCGAAAAGTAAGTAGCTTTTGATGGTTCGAAACCCAGCTGTCTTTGATCATTAGACTTTAATCAATGGTCCTGGCTAATGAAACAAGACACTCGTCCTTCACTCATATTTGGGTTAAACGCATCTACGTGGCGTTCAAACCTAAACTGGTAATCAAAAGAGGTTATTAAAAGATTGGATGTCTTCTATCAGTTACAGATATGAAATTAAATATATGTGCAATAGAAACCTTATGATAATCCCCAATATATTGGAGACCTATATGGGAAGAGACCAAATTCCCTTGTACCCTTTATCACTAATCCATCCACGGCAATCTTTGGTGATGACTGATGAGCGTTTCAGCTGCAAATATACAATACAATCATTATATCGCCATTTCTTCGTTACAAAGGAATCAACATCAGTCGAAATGTAAACATTCTAAACAACTAGGACAGTTTTATTCGCTCCATTTCGGGTCAAATTGATTAGTTTTGGTGAACTCGATTTATACCGTTTTGACATCCGAAAGAAACCACGTAGCGTTTGTGGTCGTACTGTGTTTTGTTGTTACTGTACGATTCATTGTTTTAAATACTTCATTTAGTACGGTGAGTTTTTAATTAAGGCATAGCCTACGTTTTAGATTTGTCTATGGTTTTAGTGACTTTTTTTAGTTTACTCCTCATCTGGCCATCTGGCTTGTAACAACTTGACAAAGATAATTGTAAAAGCTTGAAATATAAATTAAGTTTTCTTTCCAGCACAATTATCCTAAATTTACCCTGCACTTGTAACGTTGCCAAAAATAGTAGGCCAACACATCAGAAGAGAATCAAATAATTTAATAGGCCTAACTGGAAACACAATTTAACCTTTAAATTATACCATAAATTAAAGGAGTTAACCTTGTATAAGCTACTCGTTTGATGTATGATTATACTCATCTGATAATCCTACCTATTCCACTGATAGCTATTAGAAGTTAATCAAATAATTGTTTCTATAGCTAACAGTACTGTAATACTATTAACAAATTTATACGACAAATCTAGAGGTTTTGTTTGTTTTAAAACGTTACGGGCCTTATTTTTTATGTTCAATGGATATGTAATAAAGCTCAGCTTTCTTACCATCTAACGTCGACCTTTTTCCAGATATCACAACACAAGTTCATAGGTTAATATCGTAAAATCAAACTTTTTCTGTGAAATTTTAATTGGTCCATTTACGTACAATTGAAGGCCTTAATTTTCTACATAAATTGTGTGGGAAAATACAATTATCGATTTACGAAAACAATATTGTAAGAAACGTTATTTTGTCAACCAATTGAATTAACACAGTGACGTATCCTCTCATCAATTGGACCCAGCTGTTTCTGATTATTGGGCATAAATAATGATCCTGGCTAACTGGAACCTGGATAAAACAAAACTAATGAAACAGCTGATCATATGAAACAACTGATCTTATGAAACAGCTGATCTTATGAAACAGCTGATCTTATTGTAAGTAACAAAGCTACAAAGATCATCTCATTCCATTCCACCTATGTTTATTGATACAATTTCAGTATCCAATAGTCAATGATTCTACTCATCCTTTACTCACATTTCGGTTAAAATACGCGACTTCCCCAATCCCCATATCAATTGATAGTCGATAATAATTGACAACTCTTCTGCGTGCTTCCACATCAAAATAAGCTACCTACAATACCCAAAAACTCGTTTACACCCGAGGACGTAGTACTACCGGAGGGGAGCGATATGGTGTTAATATGCATGAATCATTTGCAAATAATCAACATAGCGGTTTCAATCAGCATAATTAGTCATGGGGTCGGCGCTGCAGTACAGTGACCAGTAAACCACAGACCTCTCGTGCTGCATGTGGTAGACGAGGGAGTTCACAAGGGACTAACGCATTTACACATGCAGTCTAGCTGTTATAAAAGGATATAAGGAGGACAAATAAATAAAAAGGGAAAGAAAGAAGGCGAGGAAAGACAGGAGTCATAATTAATCTTCTTTCGATTAAAATACAGAGAATTGAACTAGAGAAAACATAATTTTAATAGTTTTAGCGAATTTCCCTATAGGGAAGTAGCTATTACCGTAGGTGGCACGGTAAGACCTAGACCCGGGACCGATTTACTTTTTCATTTTGATGTCCCCAGAGGCCAAAAACACCATTCGTTCAAATTTTTATATATGTATATATATATATATATATATATATATATATATATATATATATATATATATATATATATATATATACGTCCGTGAACGCGATAACTTGAGTAATTTTTGTCCGATTTTGATGAAATTTGGTTTAAAGGTGTAAAGCGGGATAAACTTGAATGAGTTCGCAAACCAGCACGATCGGACCATGGGAACGGGGCTTTACGGGGGGTTTTATGGGGTAAAAATTGGTTTTTCTAATTTTTGACCCTCAAAACACAAAATTTCCCGATTTCTCTTTAGACCTTTTTAAAGAGCTAAAAAAAACAAATAATTTAGTATACAAAAGTATTTTTGTTCGATTATTAGTAACGGAGAAAATTAAAAAATTGTAAATTTAAAATTCCCATGTTATTCTTATGGAGAATATTGTCAAATGTTGTAGTTTGCTTGTTTATGGATATATTTTGATCAAACTTGGCAAATTTATTTATTTTGTACTAAGCTAACAATATTTTACTCAAAAACACACTTTATTAGTTTCCTTGTAGCAGCAAACCTAGGTACTCGTTAAACCTAATGTTATTAAAATATATTTAACTGAAAATCAATTCAGACAAATGGAAATTCGCTTAGTCGGCAGGTTTGCTGCGGCGGGGGTATTTTATTTCACACTTTTTCTTCAATTCCATCCTCTTTACTATTGCACCAGTCTCTAGCGGTCGAGAATTTAGTTACCGGTCAGATCCGATAATGCATCAATAATTTATATTAAATACAAAAAATGTTACAAACATTGTTCGTATCTTTGTTATCTGAGGTTTCAACCATTTTCAAAATGTATAGAAATGCACGAAGTTCAATTAATTAATCGTGATCCATTGGTCTTTTAATCTTTATTAAAATCGGCACTACAGAGTACAGCTTCATATTGTTAAAAAAAAGTAATGTTTCTAAGATTAACAGGCGGTTCTTTGTTCAGTGAAGTAATTCGGGGTAAAAAATACTGTAATTGTATAATACGTGAATTGTGCTTCCAAATACTGTACTGTTGTAAGATTCATCGAGAAGCAGAATCATGATCATGACAGACTGCCGTCCAGTAAATTGTGTCACTGTCATTTGATGGCAGTAACTAGAGAAGACATTGTAGTGATATCTAGAATAAATATCAAAATATTCTTTGTTGAATTTTCCGGATGAAGAATAAAGGTAGGCCGTCAACGTCGTGCAATAATAAATAGAGACACAAAGTAGAAGTAGTATACTTGCTTTATAACTTTAAGCATGGGTCACACAAGGCATATCAGTCACGAATTAAAAAAAGCCGCTAGCGATATTTTTTGTAATCTTATTAGGTTTGGTTTTAGCTCGTATTCATTATTACCTGTCCTCTTTCATGTCGACTTACTAAATTGGTTTTTCGCACGATGCATTCCAGAGTGCAAGGGAACTACAATGTAAACATATCGCACCTTGAAATATAAACTCACCTTAAAATATCGCACAGCAATGTAATATTGCAAGGTGATATTTTAAGGTGAAGAAGAGTGAAGAAATGAAGGCGCATTGAATGAATTATATGATTGCTTTTTTACTAACTAATTTGTTTAGGCAGGACGATTTATTGTAAGCCTCTGGGCTGGGTCTAGGTCCACTTCCTAAAGAACCATTTACAAAATGTTATTTGATGAAGCATGGAGTAGAAACACTCCAGAGCCCAATTAACCAGCTGACCTCTCCCTTGGACCTCAGAATCATGACAAAGTCCCGTGTTTCCTGTTGCAGACTCCGTTACCGTATTGTCGCTTGGAGATCGTTGTATACTTGGCAATTTCATTTCAGTTGGAGGTCCAATTCAGTCCTCTGCTATATAGTTCTCTGTGTATTGTGTTCCGATTCACTTTCATTCTCCGCATTCCTTCTTTAATTCTAATCGGAGATAGATCATATCTGATGTTAGTTGGAAGTGCATCATACGTAGATGTTTGTTTGGCTGTAGTTGGTGGTTGAAACCTGAGTAGTTGGGCACGCCTGGTCGCCTGGAAATTATAAGTCCTGTGATCTTAGTCAGCAACAAATCTGTCATCCCCATAGACCACTCATCTTCGCCTTAAAATAGATTTTGGTCTCCTATAAATCGGATATAATTAGGGCATATATATAACTTTAATGAGTAGGCCTACCTGAAACCCCATAATAAGATCTTAACACGATGGTAGGAACTTAAAATACCTACATTCACTTGGTCGCCATTTCAAAGAGTATTAAAAAGTATTAAAGTATGAGGAAAGTATATTTACCGTATCAACATTTTAGGAAAATGTATATAAGCTACCTACTCGCTAATACATATAAAAAAATCAACCTCTTAACCTGCGATTCAAGATGGCAGTGGCGAAGATTGCAGACATCCGGTTGATGCGGTGGCGGTAGGAGTTGATCCGCGGACTGTGGCAGTTCCGGTTCCGGTCCAGCAGTGCCGCCACCTGTCAAACACCTGTTAACCCTTGCTCGAGGATAATGCCCTTTCTGCTCAGATAAACTGCTACAATGGAATAATGAGTGGCTAGAACTAAATACTAGAAACGTCGAAGTAAACTCTGGTGCCGTTACCGCCTTGTCGATGTCGAAGAATTATAAAAAAGGGAATCGATTGTAGGATTTTTGTTGTAGGAATGGTGGTCTGAAGTAAATTAGCTAATGTTCCAAGTAAAACATTTAAGCCCCCAAAGAATCAATAATTGTTGATCGTCAATTATTTGTTAATAATTATCGACAAATAAAATGCCACTATGAAATTGCTAATGTAATGGGTATAGGTGATTTATTTATTAGTACTACTGTCAGTTCCGGTACTAAAGTAAATGATGTTTGTAGGTAAATGTTTAGAAATATTAGAGTTATGATTAATTTTTCCCTATCTATATACTATTGATAGGCAAGCATGTTTCTTGAAAACCTACTCATAATGTTAGAAAGATATGTTCCTGTAGATTTGCAGAATCTCTTTATAAATTAAAATAGGCTCGAAAATAAGCATAAAAAATGAACTTAAAATTTTATAAAAATTAACATGGGCCAATGGCAACAAAATATAATCAGAAAATCAAAACAAATGGAAGAAATTTCAATCATATGTTTTATTTACAGCGTGGGGTGAAAATAGAGAAGTCTGTGCATAACATATTTTTGGTCAAGTTTTCGATCACTGGACTACCTATAGTAACGTAGTTTTCGAAAAATGGAATGATTAAACGCTAAAGCATATGCAAAGATCCTTCTAAATCGTAAAAGGGTATTTTTGCTGCAAGCTGAAAACACAACCATAGAGAGTATTTGTTTTTAAGAGAGTTTGTCTTTAACTGATGGATGGGTTCAAATTTGTTCATCGCAAATATCGTTAGCCACCAAATGTACTTTTCAGAATCATATAAAAAATATACTTTAATTCATCACTTCATGAGAAAAATTCTCCGGTATAAAAGTCATAGTCGTAAATATTTTTTCAACTTCTCTCTTTCTAATATTCTGTTATTGCACCATCTGGAGCTTGGCAGAAAGAGTCCATCTTTTCCATGCAATTTAACTCATCCCTATATGAGAAACATTTCTTAAAAATTAAAGTCATACAAATTTTTATAACTCAGAAACATTTTCTCATTGCAGTGTCAGAGATCCAATGTACCTTCACGGGGCTCGCATGGTTGGTAGAAAGAGTCCGTCCTTTCTATGTAACTCATGCCTATTTCTTGAACATGAAAGTCATACACATTTTTCTAACTCAGAAACATTCCCTCATTGCAGTGTCAGAGATACAATGCACCTTCACGGGGTCGGAGGGTCGGCAAGGGAAGGTGATAGGGAAGGACTACATCTCCGCCAAGCTGCGGAAGCCCGAGGGGTTCAAGGGGGCGCCACTGTTCGCGGACGACCGAGCTATCGATCCTCTGCTGGACGCGGAGTGTCAGATCCGACCGGACCCGGAGGATCTCACAGGGCTGGCCTACAGTCTGCTGGTCACCAACTTCGCCCGATGCGGAGTGCTCAAGAGGAATGTGAGTAAAACATAGATAATAATGTAAATTAGTTAGGTAATCTAATTAGTTAATGGACTATTATAACAGTCAAAGGCCCCCTGTCTAACTGATCTGTCCATTTGGCCACTGTATAAAACAGTACCACGAGTTTTATGTCCATAAAACACGATTCAGGACATTGGGAGATGAATCCTCATACTAAGGAAAAATGTATGTGAAGGTATGTCCAAAAATGTGTTTACCCAGTTATTCACCATTTTGTTTTTTATACATAAATATTTTTATCTTTGCAGTTTTTGAACCGATGATTATGAAACTTGGTAAGCATGTTAACGTACACAAGAAATATTGTAGAAAAGAAAATTAAGTTGGCACGATTAGAAATGTCAACATGGCGGCCATTTTAATTAAATAATTAATTAATAATTATAATAATTATTATTAGTAATAATAATGAATGGTTATTAATATAAAAAAATGTCAAGGATATTTTTATTTAGCATGTGGAATTCCCTAAACGACACCAAGATCAAAAGGATCGGATGACAAATAGCTGAAATAAAACGGTTTTTAGTTGTAAAATAAGGCAAAATAAATTGCACCCTGACTAACGCTTGCTCTATTTTTAACCAAAAAAGTTATTTTTTCGATCTTTTTTTATTGTTTGATAAGGAATTTTAAATGCTAAATAAAAGTGTCCTTGACTTTTTTTTAACAATAATCCATTTTTGAGTTATTTAAGTTATAAAAAGTCAAATGGCTGCCATTTTAAAATTACTAATCTGCTAGAAATTGTGCGCTGAATATTTCTGCTCTGTATTTGTGCCATATAGTTCGACATTCTAACTAAAAATGACTAAAAATGATAAACGTACCCGTCTGTGTTACCCGCTGAAAAATCACGATAAAAACGATTTCTCCTAAGAGTTAAAGAGAGCCCAGTCGTATTCCTGCACACTAGTATGTCTGCACGTGCATACATCTTGATCCTGCGCTTTCATTTAAAATACAACAGTTATTATAGAATATATATTTATTTCTCCCCCCCCCCTTAGTGTATGGAGAAAGTATTGTTTTCGTAAAAATTGTTGAGTCTGAGTTTTGAGTGAATATATCCGTTTTGGGTCTCCCTGAACCCACAAAAGTGGTTTTCGAAGTTATGTCTGCGTGTGTGTGGATGTGTACATAGCTACTGACTACACCTGTGGATCGATTTTGATGAAATTTGGTATGTAGGTACTAATCCATGGTATCTCCAGGTGTAATTTAATTTCTTTTTAATTTAGATTTTTAGTGGAGATTTGTAATAGTGATTTTCCCATAAACCCCATAAAATAATAGAAAATTGAATTTTCTCAAAAATAGCCCGTACGATTTTGATAAAAATTTAGGAAAAAAAGCCGGTTTTGATTAAAATTTATGTGTTAAAGTCTTTATAATTCCAAACAAAATAGTGAAAGCCCCTATTGCTGTAACAATTACGGTTCAAAAGATGTTGCAGCTTTTGTGATTTGTTCCTTATAAAATATCATAGTTACTCCCATCGCTTACCCACGATAAATGTTGTTTACAAGCTAATGGGAGAATGTATGTGTCAGATTGCTGATACCGTTATTTGTTGGTTGCCAAAATATTCCTCCTGATCGTTTACCTTTCGCTGCTCACAACCGAATCTCTCCTTGCCCCAGTATCGTAGTATTGTTGAGATGTCTGGAGGTAAACAGTCCCTGTACAGTTACTGCAAGGTTCACTGCCCAAGCGTTCGCCAGTAATTAAGACCTACGCAACCTAACCGAGTTTTTGTCTGTTTATCACCCTTTACACTCGTGCACTGATAACATCACTTTGACTCCGCTGCCGTCTTCCAACGAACCTTTTACAGTTAGATAAGAGTATGCGTTTACTGTTTATTCGTAACAATTCGAAGAATTATTTTTAATTTTTTCCAGTGACAAATAGATATATTATTTTAAATTCCTGATTTTGAAACCTTTACTTACAGTATGGTGTTCTTGTATTATTATTGTTGTTGTTGTTGTTGTGGTGTTATCTATACTCTTATAAATAAGAGGTGGTGTCTGTGAGTCTGTGTGTTTGTATGAGATAAACTAAAAAAAACTACAATGCCGATTGGACTCAAATTGTTGTTGTTGTATTAAAATAATAAGAGCATCATCCTGCAACAGCAAATGCTACAGAACAAAATCCTTACATCTAATACATACATGCGTCATGCAAAACAGGCTACCATCTTTGTAGACACAACTACAGTTTGCAGTGCTCTCTAGACTGTATTAACTAGTATAAAGTTTACTCTATGGTCTCCTTTTATAGCCTAAGAAAGCCGAAACAAGTTCTATCTCAACTTTTTCACTCTATTTGCCTCTTGATGACGCCCAAAATGACGATTTACCATCGTTACATTATACCTAAACGGTTCATAAACGCAGGCAGCTCTGTAGACTCTGACGTTGACGACCAAATAATGTCTGCCAAGGAAATATTTAATGGTTATCTCCGTTGTAGGTGTCAGCAACATTCGACGATCAGTCATCTTCATGACCCACTTCCCCACAATTGGGTCCCGTTCCCCAATTTACTTTTGAGTTTACTTTGTTGGTAGTTTTTACTACCATTGTACTTGTCTCTCAATCATTGTTTTGTTCTTCGCCATTGAAAAAATCTCATGTTACATAGATAGATATTTATTTTGATATTCGTCATTGAAAAAACTCAAAACAAATGCGAAATATATCGCCAAATAATATATGATTTTGACTTTATTAAATAAATAGGAAAATTTCACAAAAAAGCTGTTTCATCTATAATTATATTTATATAACTATTTTGCACAATACACCGATTAATATTTTTGTTCAAGAGGCAAGTTTGCACATATTTGTTTATGTTGTGATATAGTATTTAATTAATTATAACAAGATGGTATAGCTTAAATTACATCCTTTCACTCATTACAGCCAAAGTTGTATTGACCTGTAATTTAGGAATCTATAAATAGGGACAGTTTTCTTTGAAATTCGTGTTCAACATCGTATTTCATTACTTCAATTTAACAACCGCTAAACACAACGAATACTTTAAAGGAGGGAATATGGACAATTAAACAAGCTAAATTTACTAACAAATTCAATTGCAATAGGGGAAGATGTATTTTAATTCATGTACCTAAAACTTAATATATGACATTCTAATGAAATGTATAAGTATAACTAAATTTAAATGTTCAACAAGGCCAATATAAAATAATTTGTTTTATTCCCAAGCGCTTTCGGAAACTAGGTTTCCATCGTCAGGCTCTGTTTACTCTAGTACAAAAAGTAAATATTTACTTAATGATTTTTGAATGAAGTTAAAACAAGAGATGTATAGGATATTGGAAAAAATATATAAAATATAATATGACATTCTAGTTTTTCCGGTACCACAATGTTAGTTACAATAGTATATTACGTTACTAATACTGGAAATAGGGGTTTACCGGACGAGTGTGGTCGTTCCCGTGCGAGACGAAGTTGAGTGCGAGATTACCATACGAGTCCGGTAAACACATTTTGGATGAGTGATGTACGATATTTGACGCCACCCTAAACTCTAAGCTAACTTATCGATAAATAAACGGTATTACATTTACATTTACATTTACATTTACATTTGTTGTCATGAGAGCCGAAGCCCCCTGACTGCTTACCCGGTACCTATCCTTCAGGACATACCCGGGCCCCATGATGTAGGCCGAAGCTTACGCATCAACCTTTAGCACATCATGGGCGGATGACTTAAGGTCATCAGGCTCGCCGGCTGCCGAAGCAGACCCTTCGGAAAGAGGGTTGCCCCTCAATCCTAACCAGGGATTCCGGCTGCTTGTTTAAGCGTCACTCCACCTGGGTTCCACTAGGTCGGAACCTAGAGGTCCATAGTAGAGCGCCCCGACGCATTTAGTGCAAGCAACACTCGGGACCTATCTAATCCCTGACAGGCAGAACCCGCCATCAATAGCCAGGAGGAAGGGGACCATCAGCACGCTGACGGGGGGAACCCCAACCTCCCATTTACACCGCTGCCCGATCGAGGCCTTACCCATTGCTGGGAAACCAGAGATAACCAGAGCGATAGATCCCCAGATACCCCTGGCGGGCTCGGACCCAGCACCCGATCTACTTCGTTTGCCCGTCAGACCCAACATCACTGCCAGGCCATCAGGGTTTCCCAAAAGGAGGCAGGTATAGAAGTGGGACCCACCCGGATGAACCTATCCACCAGAGGTGGCGACACCCTTGACTCAATTGAGGTTCCGGGAAGAACCCCCCACACTCAAGATAACCATACCGTCCGTGCTCAGAGACAGGGATAGGTTTGCATAAGTACCTACAAACCGTTGCCCTCACACTGCGGAAAGTTACGTTGCCCTTGAGTGTCCCCGTGAGCTGCGGGTACTTGCCCGTTTTCACCTCCAGGAAAGGTTACTTCCAAAGTCGAGGATTTGCCCACTGAATGCTGGTCGCACACAACAAGCAGGCCGAAGCCCAAAGAACCACAGACACAGGTAGGTTAGAGATTATGATGTACTTCCATCTCTCCTAGAGCTAAACACCCCTCCATCCTGGATAAAGGAATGTCACTGGGACCCGATGCCCAGTCGACCATGTCTGTGGCCAACTTGAAAATGCCGATACCAACACGGAGCATTTACCTCCCCTCTGGGGGCTCATAAACGGTAAATAAACGGTATCAGCAATCCGACACATACTTTCTCCCATAAGCTTGTCAACAACCTTTATCATGGGTAAAGTGGGATTAACTATGTACAGGGTGGGGCAGGGAAGTATCCCTAATTTTGAAGGTACATTAAAAGACAACCAAGAATATTAGAACCAAACTTTATATTGGGATTAAAAGGTTACATCTGGGAGTTTATTTTAATATAACTTTACTTGGTTTTAAACAGCATATCCTGCATATGGTGTCCCTAATCGTAAATACAGGTGTATTCGGGTTCTGGAGTTCATCATAACGCTGTGAAGCATTTGTTGTGGAGTGCGGCCAACCTCAAGGTGATATGCATCCTTCAAGGCATCTAGGGTCTTTTCGTAAACTACCCTAGGCTCCAATAGAGCATATTCTGCTTATTTACCGCTCCAGTAATATGGAATTGTGTCTCGTCACTAAACAAAACCCGAGCAACATGAGACTGTCCCGCAATTAAGATTTCACATGCCTTCATACGTTATTGCCAGTCCCGTTGTGTGAGTTCATGAGCAACTACAAGCTTTAATAGACGGAGGTGTAGGTCCTCATGGAGAATACGAGGCACAGTAAGATTAGGCAACGCCAGCGCGGATGCATGTTTACAAGCAGAACGTTGAGAAGACTGCAAAATCGATCTTCTGCCAAGGTAAACGTTTTCAGGAGTTCGGATGGTTTTTTGAGCACCAAATATCCTTCGCAATACACCACCACGTACACGGAAGTCCTTCACCCACACCAAAATGTAACAGCTTTGCGGCAGGCCATCCGATAACAAGTTCGCAGTGCACGCTAGCTGCATAGCAACAATAGACTGATTTTTTTGAAAAAAAAATGCATCTCGAGTGCAAAAGCACATTGCTCACTCGAGTAAGCCATGTCTACTACTGAAAGTGATATTCTTAGAAAATCCCAAAGCAACAGCGTCATTTGAGCCTAACCCCATTCCTCCAGTACACCCATACTACTCACAGTGCCATCTTAAAAGTAGGGATATTTCCCTGCCCCACCCTGTATGATATTTTGTAGAAAAAAAAATACAAAAGTTGCAATATCTTTTGAACAGTAATTGTTACAGCAATGGGGAATTGCACTATTTCGTTTAGAACTATAAGGACCATAACACGTTAAATTTAATCAAAACCGGCTTTTTTCCTAAAATCCGATTTTTGCTCTTTTATGGGGGTTTTTATGAGAAAATAACATAAGTTACAATAGCTTTTGAACCGCAATTTTTACGGAAATGGGATTTGTACCATATTGTTTGGTTAAAGGAATTTAAAGGATTATAACATGCTAAATTTTTATCAAAGTCGTTCGGGCTATTTTTTAGAACATCCGGTTTTTCCGTTATTTTATGGAGTTTTAAGGGAAAATAACCATTAAGAATCTAAATTTCGAAAAAAAACTGGAGATACCATGGATTAGTACCTACCACGAATACAAAAAAAAATACCGGTATATGGACCATAAACATATAAACAAATGACGTTTTTGGTCCAAAAGTAAACAAAATGCCTATACTATGCATTAATTGACATGGTTTTGTTTACTTTCGGGCCAAAAACGTCATTTGTTTATGTTTAGGATCCATACCGGGTCTTTTATAGCATTCGTAGTACCTACATACCAAATTCCATCAAAATCGGACTACAGGTGTGCTCTGTAGCTCTGTAGACATCCACACACACCCACACAGACATCACTTCGAAAACCACTTTTTGGGTTCAGGGGGACCCAAAGCGGATATATCCACTCAAAACTCAAACTCAAAAATGTTTACGAAAATAATACTTTCTCCATATCCTACTAATATTATAAATGAGAAAGTTTGGATGTATAGATGTATGGATGTATGGATGTATGTTTGTGACAAGTGAACGCGAAAAATACTGGTCGGATTGGGCTGAAATTTGGCATGATGATAGCTCACATTCCCGATTAACATATAGGCATATTTTTATTTCAAAAATCCTTTCGGGCTCCGCCCCAGTGGCTCTGGAGTTTCCCATGTTAACCTTATGAGAAATGGAATTATTGAATCATAACAGCTGTTTCAACTAAACAAGTTGGTTCTGTTCTATGATGTTCAATAGCATTAAAGTTACAAGGATTACCAACAGGGTGCAGCACTACCTATTATTTCTTTTACATTTATGACAACAGCTAATTTGCAACCAAAAGGTGAGTGAGCGTAGCGAACGAACTTTAACCTGGAGGCGAGTTAGCGTAGAGAACGAGCTAACCTGAAGGCAAGTGAGCGCAGCGAACGAGCTCCAACCTAAAGGTGAGTGAGCGTAGCGAACAAACTTCAACCAGGACGTGATTGAGCCATGCGAACGAGATAATCTTGAAAATTAAGAAGTTAAACGGGGCAAAGCCCGCGGGTTACAGCTAGTAATATCATATGTATAGGGGGAGAAAGTAAAAATATGTAGGCCTACAAATCCTTATATTCCCACCGACTAAAGGACTAACAATCACTACTCATAACGGCTGCCACCACAAACATCACAAAGGTTAAGGTTTTGTTTATAACCAATCATTGCCAAATATACAATCAGCTGGTTGGTTTCCGGTAAAAACTCGTTACAGTACAGTTATCCAATAGTCAATGGTATTACGTAATGAAACCACATATGATTAAGCTGGCGGCAAACAGCTGTTTACTGAACTAAATCCTTATGCTGGGAAGTTTGTTAAAACCAAACCCAACGTTGGAGGTTTGTAGTGTGGCGTAAATAAATTGTAGATATGTGATGGCTTGGTGCTTCGTAAATAAGATCTGTTTTTGATTTTTTTCTCCTTATTCTATTAGCCAAACACATTTTTCACTCGTAAATAAAGTTAGTGTGAACATGCATACGCCAACTCCCCGCAGTTAAACTGTGACCTGTACGTCATTGCAGGGGTTTGTCCACGTGAGGATATGGTTCCCGCAGTTCCCGGGGGTTGTGATGATGTCAGATCAAGAACTCATCATCATGTGCAAGCCACCAGAGCCGACGATCATAGAGAACAAAGCAGCAGGCTTCGCCGGCAGCTTGTAAGTATTGCAATAATGTTTGAATAATAACTTACAACTGTACAACTGTGAGATGGGTTATGCCTTCTCCAACTCGACATAAAAAAATTAATTAATGCGAGGTGATTTTAATTGTTGTTCTTAAAAAAATGTGAAAACTATATGAATTTGTAAGATTAATGCAAATATAAATAATTGTGGGCATGTTTTTGATATTATTTCATAAAAGGAGGCACCACCTAGATGATCAACTCTATGTTATCGCAATGTACATTGCTGACAATCATGTATATGTAGTAGGGTTCACACTCCACATCACAGAAAACGTAAGTACGTTTTCTGTGCTCCACATGGAGCTAGAGTTTATCAAGTAGTAAAGGACACCTGGTCGTCTGGAGTACGAGGAGCACCTATGATAACCAATTCTATGTAGATAACAGATATTCATGTATGTGTAGTCCAGATGGAGCTAGAGTGTCTGGTGCAGTAGAGGAGACACCTGGACATCTGGAGTACGAGGTGGCTATGTACAAGGAGGATGACCAACTCTATGTACATTATTGACATTCATGTATGTATAGTCCACATGGAGCTAGAGTGTCTGGTGTAGTAGAGGAGACACCTGGTCGTCTGGAGTACGAGGTGGCGCTGTACAAGGAGGCTCCACCTAGGATGACTAACTCTATGTACATTACTGACATTTATGTATCTGTAGTCCACATGGAGCTAGAGTGTCTGGTGTAGTAGAGGAGACACCTGGTCGTCTGGAGTACGAGGTGGCTCTGTACAAGGAGGATGACCAACTCTATGTACATTATTGACATTCATGTATGTATAGTCCACATGGAGCTAGAGTGTCTGGTGTAGTGGAGGAGACACCTGGTCGTCTGGAGTACGAGGTGGCTCTGTACAAGGAGGCTCCACCTAGAATGACCAACTCTAGTTCTGAACTACCTGTTGACCAGGCAGTGCCAATAGGAACAAAGTTGCAGCTTCGAGCAAGGATAAATCCACAATCAGGTATGAGATGTACGATGTACCAGTTACACCAGTTATGTGAGTGAAAGTAGGGATAATTCTCTTTTCTGGTCTGTTTTTTTCTTTTTTCTGATGGTACTGTTGTAGAGGTGATCACAATGAGGTGGGGGATCATCAGATTAGGGTTTTTAGGCGGATAAAACTTTCTGATGGCTTTATTTGAGCTATATGATGGCTGAGGAGTTATTTGTGGGAATCTGTTGTAGTAAAATATTTGAAACACTTCTAACAACAAATGATTACTATTGTGTTTAAAAAAAAAAATTTGATGTAACACCCGTTGACAAACCAACGAGCACTTTTTTTGTTACAGCAAGAAACTTATCCACTTGTCAATTTAGAGTAGCAGTGTGTGAAGTGGCTTATGGTCTTCAGGAATTACTATTTTTTACATTTAAATTGCTTTACTAACCACAACTGGCAACCGATGTAAGAGTATGTGATTTGAAGAACATGTATCAGGCTACAGTATTACATAAATTATATCATTAACAATAATAAATACAGGGTGTCCCGGAACTCTCTACCAATATTTTAGGGCATTGTTCCTGGGTAAGAAACATATCTAAATATCATATTTAAATTGTCCGGAAGTCCTTAGTTACTCAGATAGCCACCATTTTGTTTTTTTCACTTATTAATTTTTTTCTGAAAATTGGTTAAACATACGAAGTTGAAACTTTGCACAAACATTTATGACAACTAGACAAAGCTACAAAAAAATTATGACGATTTTTCAAATTCATAAAACAAAATGGCGGCTGTTTAAAATTTTGTTTCTTAAATTACTCGAAAACTGTTGATGTTACAAAAATTTTACAAGAATAACTTTTTTAAGGCAATTGTATTACAAATCGATCGACACCTTAATCTTTAAGATCGGACGAGTATTAACTGAGATATGGCAGTTTTAGTGATACGTGACCGCCGGATATTAGTTGCAGCGCATGCTGAAAGCGGTCACGTATCACTAAAACTGCCATATCTCAGTTAATACTCGTCCGATCTTAAAGATTAAGGTGTCGATCGATTTGTAATACAATTGCCTTAAAAATGTTATTCTTGTAAAATTTTTGTAACATCAACAGTTTTCGAGTAATTTAAGAAACAAAATTTTAAACAGCCGCCATTTTGTTTTATGAATTTGAAAAATCGTCATAATTTTTTTGTAGCTTTGTCTAGTTGTCATAAATGTTTGTGCAAAGTTTCAACTTCGTATGTTTAACCAATTTTCAGAAAAAAAATAATAAGTGAAAAAAACAAAATGGTGGCTATCTGAGTAACTAAGGACTTCCGGACAATTTAAATATGATATTTAGATATGTTTCTTACCCAGGAACAATGCCCTAAAATATTGGTAGAGAGTTCCGGGACACCCTGTATAAGATAATATTATACAGGGTGTCCCGTAACTCTCTGGACATATGTATATAGCGTTATTCCTTAGGTCAAGACAAACACATTTCACCATAGGAACATGGGTCTGTGGGGTCTAGTTTACCGACTGTCGGTATTTATGTGTTTTTTACAAAAAAACTAATAACTCCTAAACGGTTTGAGATACAGCTTTGATATTTTACAAAAATGTTTATCTTATTAAGACCTTTTATCGTTAGAAATTATACTAAAAAATCATTAACCGTTTCAAAATGGCGGCCATTTAAAATTTTTGATGCCAAATTTCACGAAAACCGTTAACTTTACAAAAAAAGTGCTAGAGACAAAAAAGTTTGTAAATTTTATGTAGTTTTCAATGATACCTTATTTGTTAAGATTGGATAAATAATAACAGAGAAACTAGTTGTTTTCGTAATGTATGACCACCTTTTTCCTTTTAAACAATGCTGAACAACGTTAGAGGAGTATTAGCATTGTTTAAATGGAGAAAAGTGGTCAGGCATTTGGAAAAGAAGACATTTCTCTGTTGTTATTTATCCAATCTTAACAAATAAGGTATAATTGAAAACTACATAAAATTTACAAACTTTTTTGCCTCTTGCACTTTTTTTGTAAAGTTAATGGTTTTCGTGAAATTTGGCATCAAAAATTTTAAATGGCCGCCATTTTGAAACGGTTAATGATTTTTTAGTATAATTTCTGACGATAAAATGTCTTAATAAGATAAACATTTTTGTAAAATATCAAAGCTGTATCTCAAACCGTTTAGGAGTTATTAGTTTTTTTGTAAAAAACACATAAATACCGACAGTCGGTAAACTAGACCCCACAGACCCATGTTCCTATGGTGAAATGTGTTTGTCTTGACCTAAGGAATAACGCTATATACATATGTCCAGAGAGTTACGGGACACCCTGTATATATAATAGTAATATTCTTTACCTACAAAACATAAAAAAACCTGACGGTAAAACCCAGAAAACCTCACTCATAACACTGTTTTTGTGTTCCAGCCTGGAAGCATGTGAAGCTGATGGAAGTGACAGTTTCACCAGACCCTGACGATCCTCACGTAGCAGGAAGTGTGGCCCTAGTCAAGGGAGGGTTAGTATGATAACAAGTACCTATTAAATTCACTCTAAGTTAGTGAAAAAAAAACTAATTATTCCACTACAAATTGCTATTCAGGTCCAACTTATTGCAGACATATGGTCCAAAAACATTTGTTTCTACGGGGTGTTTACTCATGCATCCACATACATGATTGATTGATTAGAGAATTGTAAAATATGAATGTTTTAGCAGTGCTATTTAGGAACTGACGCCGCTGTGCAATGTATAGTTGCTTTCATTCGATAAGCTAGAGCTTACGTTACGTGCTGTCATTAAAAATATTATGACTTTAAAATTTAAATACTACAGTGTAGCAGGTGTATCAAAGCCAGTGGAGTCCAAAAAATGAAACAGAGGAAGAAAGACCTCTAACCATGACTCTGTCGCATATCCGTTGTCTCGTTGTCCAATCGACTCAATCCAGATACTAGTGTAAATATTTTTGTAGTAATAGAATACATAGCGTTAGAGATGAAGATGCCACACAAGGTGGTGAAATGCATAGGGTGACACCTTATCTTTCCTACAACCTACAAGTATTCAGGCAACAAGAACAAAGGTAAATCTAAACTAATGTGTGTTTCTTAGGTGTCGTAATCGAGACTTTGTAGCGATCATCCCTCATCAACCTGCCAGATATAGAGACCGGCACAATGAGGTTTTTCTAGACTTTGAAGCATTTCTGCTCAGTACAATGAAGGAAAGATCAACTCTGTGGATACATTCTCAGATCAAAGCTTGCATGGATGCTGTGGACTGCCAACCTGTAAGATAAAAACTTTAATAAATATATAAATACATGTTTGGAGCTAATGTACATTTCAAATATTTTTTGGAAAGTTCAGGAGTATTTTCAATCAAATGATTTGTGAAACACACTGGGCTGGGAGCATGGGCTACTTCATTTCAGTATTTTGACTGTGGGGACAAGATTTTCAATGTAATCAAATTAAAACAGTTAATGGCAAACTTTTCAATCAATTCTCAACATATTATAGAAATAAGAAACTAGATAACTGTAATTTACCAGGTCAGAAAAATACAATGCATGTAAAACTGAAAATATTCAGACGTTTTTTTGCTTTGATAATTTCAAAAATAGAATTTTGTTTTAAGTTCCTAATAAAAATCTATTTCAAAGTTGAAATTTTTTTGCAGGTATCATATAGTTCCTCTTTCAGTATGGAACTAACAGTTAGTTAGTACAGACATAACAAAATCTTAAATGATACAATCTACAGTAAAACTACAAAATAAATAGTAAGTTATATAGAATTATAATGTGGTGTCAAAGTTACTCATAAAGTGTTGATGTTACAACAACTTTTGAAACTTTTAACAAAACCAATTAATTTGTAGTTAAACCTGCAAACTAACCAGAATAAAGAAAAACACTTTATTCAGCCGAGATAGGATATTTTTTACGAGTACACCTTTACACTATGTTTTTTCTCACCACACTCCTTGTGTCCTTATAAAATCTAGAACTAAATGTTGAGCAATTAAATCCACAAGATCTTACAGTGGATGTACTAAAATTACTCATATTGATTTTTGGGTGTTTTCTAGGAGTACTGCCTTGATCTGTTTGAGCCGAGTGGACAGGGAAGGCGACGGAGAGCGTTGAGTGCTAACATGCCGAGCGGCACAATGTCTGATCAGTTCCGCAACAACACTCAGTATACAAAGTTTCATGAGAACATCGAGTACACTGTTCTCATGCCAGGAGGTAAGAGTCTGCTATTGAAATAGGCATAAACTTCTTAGAAGATAAATAAAGGGTGTCCCAGTAAGAACACCGGATTTGAGGAGCGTCTTATCCTTATCTGTATTTCAATAGGAATTCCCAAATTATCAGCGATGTTATCAGTATTAGGTCCCATTTTGTAGTCATGAATCGCTACACGACGGAACAACACGTGGGCATAGATAAAGTGCACTACAAGTACGGAAGCTGCGCGCTATTTATGGCTGGGACAATGCACCAAATGAGCCATCTGTCCGAAGATTGATTTATAAGTTAGAATAAATTGGCTCATCAGTTATATTTTGGGGATATTTAAAGTCGCTTGTTTTCGCCAATAACCCTCAAACAATCTAAGACTTGAAGGAGGTCTGGTCCATTACAGTTGTAATGTTGTAGTAAAAAAATCATAGGTCTAATGCTTGGTAATCATGTCTTGACAATTTAAACATTTTAAAATTTAACTCCAATAAAAAGTCATTATATACTGCTAAATGTCTTTAAGTAGGGTTATGGATTTAAATTTATTATGATAGCTAAAAAGCAAAGTGGTCTTAAATTCAGTAACGACAAATCACACTTATCCGACTAACTTGGCTTTAAAATGGCCTAAAAGCTGTGTCCTAATTTCCCTCAATGTTATGTAGTTTTTAACAACTATAGCATAAGTAGACTAGTTTGTGATACATTGTCTGATGTTCATTTTGTAGCTGAGAAAAGCAACGTTTCTAGTCAATTCTAATCTACCAAAACTACCAATGAAATTTTATTTATAAATATTTTTTTTTAAATTTAGATGATGCTCACAATGGTTTGTGACTAATTTTAAAATGCAGGGATTTTGAAGGACTATTGATTACTTACTTACAATTAGTTACTTCAATACCTACCGGTAATTGAAATAACTTTCACCCACTACTTGTCCAATCTGCAGAGTCATATTCAAAATTTCCTGTGTTTTCATACTTTTTTTCTATTTCCAACATCAAAACTATTCTCAAACAACGCTTGTTTGCAGATCTGTACCATCACACAGTGGCGATGGAGAACTCCTGCAGCACATTTCTGCTAATCTCCGCAGCGCTGGGTTGTCTTCTGTTCATCTCCGCATTCCTCATGTGCTACCTCGCGTCTCGGCTGCAGTCAGCACTCGCCGCATCCAATCACAGCCTCTCGATAGACCACCTGGTCAGAGAACATTCGCGTAAACATTCTCACGGCTCGGAGGCTATGACGTACACTGGTAGATCCATGTTACAATAGTCTGCTGCGGTAGGGTGTGGAACTTTGTAAAAGAGGTCAATAAAGCTCAGGTCTGGAATTAGATTGGGAATTTACCCTGACATTTTTTGGTTGGATTAGAATTGTGGACAGTTAAATTATGGATCGGTTAATCAGTGACTTGTCTCATCAATAAGGTTAGTGCTAAGACAGGTCATTCAGGTTAACTGCAACGTTCAGTAAGGGTTTAAAGTAAATTTAATGGGTTTCAGGTTCAAGAAATGTGTTACTACATAGCTGCTGTGAGTAAAGATAAAAGTACAGCCTGGAAGCAATAAACTAATTCTGGGCCTAACATCTAAAACATGTTATTTACTGACCTCTTTTGTAAAGAAATCTCAACAGTGATGATGGCAGAACAAAATTCTAGTAGTTAGCTAAACCTGAAAAAATAACTTCAGGATCCTAGTTGTTTGTATAGAATATGTATACCTTACATTTTTAAATCTAGGAATATATTGTGTCAGTTAAGAGTGGCAAATGGGATGCGCATCCGCAGAAGAACCCTTCCCCGCCACTGTGGTTTTGGTTATTTATTTCAAACAGTACATTATTTCAAACTTTATTTCATTTTATTACATCTGCTATTCATTAAATGAATTGTTTCCAAATGGCAAATTTGTTAGATGTATGTGATATAACTCTAGATTTATGAACTACACAAATCTACCTATCAGCTAGAATTTTTTTAACTTTGTCCTGCTAACATTTAACTACCTACTGTTAAAAATGTACAAATCAAATATACTGTGACATCACAGTAAAAAAACTGTAAACAGTAAAAAGGGAAGAAAACTACATAATAGGAAAATGTTCACTGTAAATAAAACACCAATAGTGTTTACTGTAGTATATTATCTAGGGCTAAGAAGTAGTTTTAAGTAAAACTATTAATTTATTAATTCTATATCAATGTTATATATTGACAAGCACTTTTATTTACTAGTGCTGTATTTGTTTTTATAGAGGAGTTTAATGATAGTATGTTTCTAGTAAAATTTTTATTTGCAAAAACTTTGTCGATAATTAAAAGGTTTCTTGGTTAAGTAATAGGTAAAATAAGAATTATCTTGAAATTTTGGGTTGCATTGGTTTAAGTAAGGGATGTCTGTCCTGTGTTCTTGTACGATAAAAAGTTTCTATTAACAGCTATTTGACAATGTAACAAACATGTCAATTAATTATATAGATCTACATTTAGGCCCACCTTCTAAAATAAATTGACAAATTACTCAGCAAAACAAATTTATAAGACACTCTAAAGGAACACGGTCACTGTTTCATCTTGTCATATGTATGTCATATATATAAAAATGCTCATCATAAGAATAATGTATACAATATATTTTTTTTATGTATATATCACTTCAAACAGAGGGAGTGTGGTCCAACATATAGTTTGTGAGCTGTCTCTCGACGTCCAATATAAACTATTTGGCTGTTTCATGACGTCCGAAAGAACAGTAATTGCAAGAAACATTATTCTTTCTACAAGCTTTGGACATCATGGGATTGGTGATCGTGCGACAGCGCACATCATACTATTAAAAACTTAGCAGTAGCAGTACGTCCAAAGCCGCTGCCAGTTGTACAACGTCCATTAGCTCAGCGCTATCGCAAGACGTCCAGAGCTCCTTTGGGTTATTATTCAATAATGATGGTAAAACAGTTTTCACAGTGTGCAGGCGCTCTGGACGTCGTGGGACAGCGCTGAGTTATTGCATGTCGTGCAACTGGAACTTTTTAAAAGGTGTAAAGTGTGCTGTTTCACGACCAATCTAATGACGTCCAGAGCTTGTAGAAGGTCTTTTTTTATTGCAGTTACAGTACTTTTGGACATGATGAGATTTGGACGTTATGCAACAGTCCAATATTTTATATCGGACGTTGTGAGACATCTCAAGAATTATATTCCGGAAGTCGTGACATAGACTTATATCATTGGACATCATGACACTTGGACGTTGTACAATGCATCCCAAACACATTGACTAAATTATCCTCAATAATAGCTCAAAGTTCCTATAACTAAATTACTTGGTTTACCCCTTCAACGTGTGTTTATTGATGGTCAAAGGAAAGGATATGGTAATCGGTTTTATGACAAAAGTTTTGGGGCCAAATGCATGGTATATTAAGTTAGTTTATTAGGTTTTGAAAACTGTATTAGGAAGGCAACAATTCCTAAAGTAAAGATAGGTGAGTAGATGTTATCTCATATTTCAAAAAAATAAACTGTTATTTCAGTATTATTCTTGAAAATATGTACAACTAACAACTTAAAAGTATCTAAATTCATTGTTTAGCTGTTACAAAGTTTAAAGGTTGACTACCATTTAAGAACGGTCGGAGGTGTGCAATATACTAAAAATAATATTGCAATTTGGTAGTGAATTATTGAAGTATCCATTTGTAATTATTTAACATTAAAATCTGATCAAACAATTCAATCTTTCTTTGATGTTTAATTTCCCCAATCCAGTAATTATCTCTTTCAGCGTCAATGTCGGTTTATGTCAAATTCAACCAACAAATCAAAAGAATATGTTTAGCTTTAGCTAGTGAAAAATAGCCTTACATCTACATGTGCAGCTAAGTGACAAACCTGAATGGCAAGGGGCTTTGGTTCTGCTTTCAAAGCTAAGAGTTGTTGATTTATGATTATTAGATCTTTAAAGACATCCCAAGCCGAGAGTCAAATTCACCGTCTCTCTCTGGCCTGGAGACAGCTCAGTAAATCAGGAGTTAAAATCACATCATGGTCCTCACATTTTGATGGAAGAGATGCATCTTCTGTAATCAATAGCGGACAGGGATGTAATGTGACAGGGTGTATTCTTTTAAAATTGCACATTTGGTTGGCCATTTTAGCTACTTTTGACCTATGGCTGCTATCTAATTGTGTATCCAAGCAAAGAAATGTTATCAGTTTATTTTTGAGTGAAAATATGTGCTAAATATAAGCACAATAAATTATCGCAGCATATTTATTGACCATGGAACCTAATAGGGTATATTATGTAGGTTGGTCTACAATAGTGTATGTTAAAAGTGCACCAATGTCCAATACCACCACTAATATCTAGATATTAAATTTGAAATACTAAACTGCATATATTACTTTCTTTTATTCTTTATGGACATACATAGTACATATCTTTACCAATTAAACTTGAAAGAGTAAAGACTAGCCTGATTATAATTAGTACTACTATTGTATACTACAAAATTCTACGGGTTTTCTGAAAGTAAAACAATCAGAACTTAATTAAAAAAAGATTTTATTTCAGAAATTATTTGGATACAGCATCACAGTTTTTGATGTATTTAAGTTATTAACAAAACCATAAACTATTTATAACAGTAAAACAGATCTCGAAATCTTTATGGCATTAACATTATTACAGAATATAATCCAAAACATTAATTATACTGAAATACAAAACTATAAATTAATAAGTAAAAAATATTCTACTCAATCGAAATGCACCATCTTGAGTAGAGGTCTGTAGGATTGAAATTGTACAGTAACGAAACATGCAATTATCAACTTATCAAGTAAAATAATCTTAAAATATATTTTGCTGCGGAAGACAATTAGGAATAAATACAACACCCTGCTAAGTGTTACAAAACAGTGGGACATTCATAAGAAAACCATGCGTAAACTACAAAAACTAAAAATCAAGAATCTCAATTCTTCCAAGCAGGTACAAATAATTCGTGATGTCACTCAAATTTGTACTACATAAATAACCGACCTTTTAGATCACACAAAACAAAATAAACCTACAGACCTCTTTGAACCGATCACCCTGGTCTAGTTAACTTGTGCTTTTTACAAAATTAGAAGTGTACCAAGACAAACGCTCACACACCCACACGATAAAAATAGTTTGGAGTACAATTATAACTGTATGAAAAAATATAATTTTTAAAAATTCACGGTTATCCTAAACATTGGAATGAATTATTTGGAACTATGGAGTATCCTGTACATCCTTCTCGGAACGATCGTTCGTTGCAACCGTAACTAAATGTTGGGAGTCATCCGTCACTCTCGAGTCCAAATTTAACACAACCACAACAACGTTCTGTAAGTTTATGTACAAGTATGTTTAGTCTCAGGCAGTCGCTGGCAGAGCTGCTTACAGCTCGTCCTTCTTGGGAAGGTCGTCGTCTTCATCCTCCTCCTCAGCCTCAGCCTGGAACAACATTACATTTTTTACAAACAGCACATTACAGTAGAACCTTTAGAATCCAACTGTTTTTGTCTAATATTTGTGCCTACCAACATTGCAAAGTCTCAACACAACTCACTAGATGTTCATCATTACAATAATTGTAGCATTACAATGTAATTTTAGTTTTCCAAAATGTGTGATAATATTACAAGTTAATACATCTCACTCAATAATTTTATGGTTTATCTGATTACAAGCCTTTGGAATAGCATATTACAAATAAATGTCATCCTTTTTTAATCCAATTTCCACTCCGAATAGATCTAATGCAGCAAGACAAAGTTAAGTTACAATACACAGTTAACAGAGGACATGAAATATCTAAACCGAAGCCATACAGACATTCTGATATGAACAACAAACAAGGGTGCATATTGTGAACATAGAAAAATGACTTTTATAAATTAATGGCACAGCTTATTGTAAAAAAACTTAATTGTCAATATTTGATATTGTTGTTTGGTATTGTCATTATTTTGATCTACTATTGCCCACAGTATGGATGACAGTAATAAAACAAAATAGTTAGGTTTACATAGACACATATCATCTGTACATCAACTGTAATAGGATTGACGCCATAAACTATAACCTATTATTTATTTTTGGTAATTGTAAAATCAAATCCTTGAATCTATATGTTAGTTGAAGGTAAGCAGTAATGATAGTTACCTGGCCTGGAGCACCCTCCACTCCACCACTGTTGATGAAAGCAGTCAGTCCCTTTAATGTTCTCTCTCCACTGTACTCAATAGCCTGTGAACAAACACAAACTCTCAGTAAAACATGTAAAACATGCAGTTAGAAACATGTAACATGCTTAGTGAACATAGCCTATGCATTGGCCTGGTAATTTCTATATTGTCTGACAATGAAAAAAGGAATGAGCTTGGCTTTTACTAGTCAATAGTGAAACAGCAGTCAGTTTTATGCAATAAAAATTCAACAATTAAATTCACTAAAATCTGATGACAAATATTTGTTTTAAGTCTAAATGATATCCGGTCAAGGTGAGGAAGCAGGAGGACTTCATTTTCTACTTTGTCAGATATTAGGTGGATATTTATTTACTCATGGTTGGTTTCAACAGCCGCTTAGGCATGAC